TCTCTGTGTCCGCCCTGCCTCCGCCCTGGGCCCCCTCTTTCTCCTCCTCAGAAGCTGGGATCTCCCTGTACCTGGCTCAGACGGCCCGGGGCGCGGCCGCCTCCCCCGAGGGTCCTGTCTACAGCACCATTGACCCAGCCGGGGAGGAGCTGCAGACCTTCCATGGGGGCTTCCCCCCAAATTCCTCCGGGGACCCGAGCACCTGGAGCCAGTATGCGCCCCCGGAATGGAGCCAGGGGGACAGCGGTAGGCCTCCCGGGCCCCTCGCCCCACACTCCTCGGCACCTGGCCCAGCACTTCTGACAGGTCTCACCTCTGCCCCTTTCCTGCTCTGCTCAGGGCCCAGGGCCGGCAAAGCGAAGCTTCTGGGGAAACCCGTGCAGATGCCCTCCCTCAACTGGCCAGAAGCCCTGCCCCCACCGCCTCCTTCCTGTGAACTGAGCTGCCTCCAGGGGCCTGAGGAGGACCTCGAGGGCGGGTAAGGATGCTTCTGGCTGCAGATGCCCTGCACGTGGGACCAGCCCCGGCCGCCTGCTGGGAGGGCAGAGAGCTGGAGAGGAAGGGAGCTGGCAACTGGACGGCCAAGGAAGGATATGGAAGCTCCTCAGTCACCCTCACCTCCTGCTTCTTTCCCCAGCTCAGAGCCAGGAGAGTGGTGCCCCCCGGTGGTGCCTGAGAGGAGCCACCTGGCAGAGCCCAGCTCCAGCGGAGGGTGCTTGGTCCCTGCGTCCCGAGGGGAGACCCCCTCCCCCACACCTTCCTACGGACAGCAGTCCACAGCCACTCTCACCCCCTCACCTCCCGACCCTCCGCAGCCCCTCACTGACATTCCCCATCTCCACCAGATGCCCAGGTAAGGAGGAGCATGGCACCTTGCACGTTATAGGCCCTTGGCACACATCTGTTCAGTGGATGGATGGATGGATGGATGGATGGATGAATGGAAGGATGGATGGATGGAAGGATGGATGGGTGGATGGAAGGATGGATGGGTGGATGGAAGGATGGATGGGTGGATGGAAGGATGGATGGATGGATGGATGGATGGATGGGTGGGTGGATGGAAGGATGGATGGATGGAAGGATGGATGGGTGGATGGAAGGATGGATGGATGGATGGATGGATGGATGGATGGATGGAAGGATGGATGGATGGATGGATGGATGGATGGATGGATGGATGGATGGATGGAAGGATGGATGGATGGAAGGAAGGATGGATGGATGGATGGATGGAAGGATGGATGGATGGATGGATGGGTGGATGGAAGGATGGATGGATGGAAGGATGGATGGGTGGATGGAAGGATGGATGGGTGGATGGAAGGATGGATGGGTGGATGGAAGGATGGATGGATGGATGGATGGATGGATGGATGGATGGAAGGATGGATGGATGGATGGATGGATGGATGGATGGAAGGATGGATGGAGGGAAGGATGGAAGGATGGATGGATGGATGGATGGATGGATGGAAGGAAGGATGGATGGGTAAGATCTGGGGTGCATGAGGGTGGAAATATGACTTGGGGAGAAACCTGGAGACTAACAAGGCCTCTCACTCCCTTCAGACTGTTTCTCCCTCGGAGGGACTTTGCCAGCTCCCGGGAGCGTTTCAAAGACATGGCTTTCCTCACATTCCACTGGCTCGGGAGCCTGGTGGGGGCCGGCTGTGTCTTGTTCATTTGAGTATTAGGCCGAGTGTCTAACACAGTGCCTGGCACACAGTAGGCGCTTAGTGTTTGTTGAGAGAACAAGTGCTAAGGCCTTATGTTGTTGCAGGAGGCTGCCCCTTGAGCCCAGTTCCCCTCTCAGTGTGTCCCAGCCCGCTCTGAACAGTCATGAGGGGAGGCCTGCTGGCCCCGGGGCTGGCCCCACAGCGGCCTATCACTTCAGCGCCAGCCCTGTCCCTAGCACCGCCAGCAGTGCCCCAGGTGAGTCTACAGAACCCTCACCTCATCCCACGCCTCCTGAAGTCCCTTCTAGACCTTCTCTCTTACCTGCTCCTCTCCCTTCTCCTAACGCTACAGGGAGAACCCGGCAGGCGCCGAGGGAGATGACTCCGCCACTTCAAGGGCCCCGCGCCCATCGGAAGAAACCCAAGGCCGTGCCCTACCGGCGGGAGCACAGTCCTGGGGGTGAGGGGCCATGGGTTTGGGGGTGGAGACAGTAGTGGACACGGGCAGAAACCAAGGGCGGGCTCTGGAGGTTGGAGGTGGGGAGCAGGAAAACCCACATCCTGGGCTTGGGCTGTTTATTTGCAGCCTCCTGGCGCCAGGGAACGGGAGTGGGAGGGACTGGTACCAGGGGAGTGGGACCCTCTGCTGAAACAGGCCTCTCCCCAGACTTGCCCCCACCGCCCTTGCCCCCACCAGAGGAAGAGACGGGCTGGGCTTCAGGGCTGAGAGCAGCAGGCAGCATGTCCTCTTTGGAACGGGAGCGCAGCGGGGAGAGAAGAGGGGTGCAGGGGGCACCCCTGGGGGCCCATCGGGGACCCCTCCCGGATGGTAAGGAGGCCAGGGCGGGCTGGAGGGCGCGGCTATAGAAGGTGGGCTTTAGGACTGGAGGCTGATCGTACAGTGCAGACGGGGCCAATGATGGGCTAGTTTCATCCCAGCTCACCCCTCACTTTCATTGGGTTCATGCATTTGACCCACATCGGAGGCACCTGTCTCTCCAGCTGCCTCTGAGCAAAATCCCCTGAGGTTCCCCAGTCGTATCCTTTCTCAGGACCAGCCTCAGTGAGAGGAGAACAGGGGTGGGTGTTCCCTGCAGGGTTCTGAGCGCGTGTGATGTCAAGGCCGCGTACTGGCCGCTCTGCTTCTCAACCCCAGGATGGCCTGAGCCCTTTGCCTGCCCTCAACTCTCCTTCCAGAGCTGGGAGGAGGGTTGGGGTGGCACAGGAGGGGGCCAGGAGTGGCGTCCTGCCCCCTGCCTGGGCCCAGCTATTCTTTTCTCTTGTGCTGCAGAAGAGGCCTGGCTTCCTTACAGCCGACCAAGCTTCCTGTCCCGGGGCCAGGCCGCCAGCACCTGCTCTACCGCCAGCAACTCTTCCAGAGGCTCTGGCAGCTCTCGGGGCTCCCGGGGCCCTGGCCGGAGCCGCAGCCGCAGCCGGAGCCAGAGCCAGAGCCAAAGGCCCGGACGGAAATGCCGAGAGGTGGGGGCTAGGGGCGGAGAAACTGAGAGTAGAGGACAGGGATGACTAGGAAGAGGGAGATAGAGAAGGCCTCCAGGGGAAGTGTGGACAGGAGGCGGCCCAGCGAGTGAGGGGCTGGGGGAGTCTTGGGGAACAGTGACAAAGGGTGAAGGCAGATGCCACACTGCAGAGGAGACTGGGCTCCCAGAGAAGTGGGTCAGGGGAGGCGGGCGAGAAATCAGCCTGGCGATCGCCTCCCGTGGTCTGTTTGCTGTGAACCAGGCCTTGCAAGCCAACCTGTGTGTGTCTCTCTCTAGGAGCCAAGATAACGCTTGATGGAGAATCAGCAGATCCGTGGGGGAAAGGCTTGTCCCGGGCCAGGAGCCCGGATGGGAGCCCCTCCCCTGGTAAATGAGGGGGGTGCAAAGGAGCAGGAGGGGTCTCTTCCTTCCCGGCAGTGATGGTGGGGCTCCCTGAGGACCGGCTGAGAAGCCAGGAGACAGCTCTTCCATTTCCATCCTACCTACCTGAGACCCGTTTGTAAAAAAGACAATAAAGAGTGACATCCTGGGCCAATGTCCGGTTTCGCGCGGGATACGGGGCAGGAGGGGCCACTAGGGGGTGTATATCAGGGCCCTTCCTTTTGAACTTCTGTCAAAACTCTAGGTGAGGACAGGGCTAAGAGACCGGACCTGTCCTGCCTGCTGAAGTAGCTGAAGTCACTGCCCCCCCAGTGACAACCAGAAAGACTTTCCAAATAACAAACCGCGAGAAACTTGTCCTGCCCTCGGAGAGCTAAGCCAGGCCCTCCCTTCGTGCCTCCTCTGGGTGCTGCTTCTCTCTTGCAAGGGAATATGCCCGCGTAATAATAACTTTTAAACTCAAAGGAAGGAGGAGCTCATGGGGGGAACTGGGTCAAAAGGGGAAAACAGGCCCTGACCTGGTCACTCAGTGGTTAGAGCATCAGCCCACGGACCCAAGGGTCTCGATTTGATTCCCGGTCAAACGTCGGTTGCAGGCTTGACTCCTGGCCTCAAACAGGGCACATGTAAGAGGCAACCAACCGATGTCTCTCTCTCCCCTTCCTCCCTCCCACGCTGTCTGAAAATCAACGGAAGAACAACCTCAGCTGAGGATTTAAAAAAAAAGAGGAATCGGCTTTTCAAACCTCTGAGCCCCTCCTCACAGAGGGTGTGTGCGAACCGGCACCTCCTGGCCAGGTTCGGCCCAGATGGGATGGTTTGGCTGGCACAGAATTTTAAACAATGTTGGCCGTGGGTGCCATGGTCCCCATCAACCCACCCCCCGCTCCACGCACAGCCAGTGCCACTCACAGGTAAAGCCGAGGCCTGTTTCCTTCCTGTTTGCTCTCCCCCGGCTCAGGAACCACCCTGGGCTCTCGGGATTGCCACTGCCCGCATGCCCAGGCTCTGACCGCTCCTGCCACTTCGTCCTAAGTGGGTACAACCCCTTTCTCTCCTTCGGGCTAACGAACACGGAATATTTTTTAAAGGAATGTTACCAGGAAGCTAAAAGAGAAGCAGATTCCAGGAAAGGAAAATCAGTAGGAGAGGAAGGATGGTTATCTGCAGTGCGGCTCCCTCCTCCGAGGTCATACCCTCCAGCCCAGACTGGCCAGGTCAGGGTAGTCCGGGCAGCACCGTCCCCAGGCCCCGCCTTCTCAGCCTCCAAAGGAGTGTGGCCTCCAGTAGAGCCACAGGGCTTTGGGGGATGATCACCCCCTCTGGGGGCCCTTTCCAATGGGCCCTCCCTGAAGGCGTCTTCCTGTGGCCCTGCTCATGCTCATCCCCACCCCCCCCCCACCCAACCTTAGGATTCTGCCCTTGACCTTTCCTGCCACGTGGGGGAGACATCGTCACCTGCTCCCCTCCGCTGTCTGGGGCGGAGGCCCCGGGAGTCCCGCTCCACTGCTGGTTTGCTGTGTTGTTCTGGTGGAAGGGTGTGCACCAGCCAATCATGACAGGTGGCTCTACCTTTTGTGGGATGAGCTACGTTGTTTTAAGAAACCACCTGGGACTGGTCTCTGGGGAGGGGGCTGGGGCGGCTGGAGGCAGGAGTTGTCTTCTCAGGAACAGTTGCCAAGACCAGCAGGCCCTGACCATGCCCAGCCCTCCCTTGCCTGGGTCCTGCTTCCAATCGGATGGGTGAACATAATTCTCCCCTTAGTTCCTGGACAGGGATGAGTGACATGGCCCAGTGTCAGCCAATGTCTGCTCCCTTTCCAGTTCAGGCAATTCTTTCTCTATCTCCACGTGCCCCCCTTCACCCCGCAAACGACACTCCGGGAAAAGAGCTCACGGAACTCAGGGCATTGCCATGTCATAGTATTAATTCCTTGGGCTCACTTGACAGCAGTGCGGGGAGGGTGGTTTTGTCCCCATTCCGCACCTCCCGCCCTGGAGCTCCCTCCCTGGTCCGCCTGGGACTTTGCCTTGGTGCTGGGTTGGGCCTCGTGGCTCAGGGCTCTGCTCTGTATCTCCTTTACATGGTGTGTGTGTGTGGGGGGGGGGGGCGGGCGTGGAGCCCCTCTACGGAACACGGTCCAGTGAGGCTGAAGGGAGGCTTGAGGAGCCCCTTCCTCCACGGCCCACCCCCACAAGCTGCCACTGCCCCCCAGAAAGATCCCTGGCTCCCCCATGTCTCATGATCCCCGTGGATGGGAGAGCAGGAGATGGGCTGGCTCCTTAAGCCAGACAGTTTGGTTGTGGGGTTGGGCAGAGCCGAGGACAAGCAAGGCGCCAGGTGGAGACCGTTCTTTGCTCCGGGGGCTCCGGGTCTGCTTTGCTCTGATTGTGTTGCTTCATTCCTTTTCACGGTCAAGGAGGGCGAGCTCTCCTGGAGGCCAGATGTACCCAAGGGCAGAGATGCACCGACCAAGATCTGCAGTCCAGGGCCCAGCCCTCCTCAGGGCCCGTGGCTGATAGGAGAGGGAGTTCTGAGTCTCTTCTTGGGGGGCTGGGGTGGGGAGTCTCGGGGACATGCCTCAGGACGAGTCTCTAGGAGAATTGGAGGAGAGTGGAGTGATCCCCCTGCTCCTTGTCTCTCCTGCAGACCCCCGGCTCCCTCACGGCTCCACCCAGAACCACACAAGCCAGGCAGACGGACACTTACGGCCAGCCTTGGGTGCAGCACAGCTGAGATGGCTTCTCTGGGGAGAGTTCTAAGAGTTGGGGGGCCAGGGCAGCAGCCCTCTGCCCAGTCGCTGGATGTGGTTGTTCTCCAGGTCCTCTAGCCAGTCTGACCTCCACCCCCACAGGGGCAGGGAGAGGGTGCGAGTCAGCAAGCGGTCATCCCGGGGGGAGGGAGGCGATGAGGCACCTGTGTGGGGGCAGAGATATCTGTGGAGGGTTGGCCTTCACCCCTGGGAACCAGTTTAGGGAACAAAGCTTGGGGCCAACTTAAAGCAGACACCCAACCCTAAGTACAGTCTAACCCCAACTTGGCCCATCAGTCTCGGTGTCTCTGGCCCCAGGGACAGAAACCATTCTTTCGTTAGAGAGAATGTTTCGAACTGGCCTTTGCCCATCCTCTCCCACTCCCGGCGTCCTCCTCTCCCTCTGTTAGGGGAACTTCTGCCCTGGATAACCCTTGCTCTCTCGTGCACCACAAGCCTGGTTGTTTTTCTTGGGGCACAGGGCAGGGTTAGGGTTCATATGACGGGAACAGGGGACCTGATACAGCAGATGAAGCAGGGAATAGCTAAGGGGAGCCCTGACTGCCTCTGTGGACATGGAGATGATGGTCCCACTCCACTAGACAGTGAAGGGGGAGCCCGGTTGCTCCTCCCCACAACCACAGACAAGGCAAGAAGGAGGGCGTGGAGGCACGGCGGGGGTAAGAGGAGACAGAATGTCCCACAGTGAGGAGGAACCTGAACACTGGGCTGGACTGAATCACAGGGGCTGGAGCCGCCCTTCCTGGAGACCCCTGTCTGGGTGAGGGGGGCGTCCTTCAGGTAGGGGGGTGGGTCGCACTTGGCTGCCTGCAGCCTTCAGACTTGAACAGTCTGCCCCTGTTCTCATGGGGTGACCTTGGGCAAGTTAATAAACCTGATTGACTTACAGTTTCCTCATTTGGAAAAGAATAAAGAGCATTCCTCCTAGAGGGGTCATTGAATGCAAGCACAGTGCTTATCCTAGGGCAGTGACGGCGAACCTTTTGAGCTCGGCGTGTCAGCCTTTTGAAAAACCCTAACTTAACTCTGGTGCCGTGCCACAGAGTCTTACAGGGGGGTCTTACAGGGGCTGTCCCACTCCAAGGGGTGAGGGTGAGCTGATGTACCTGTGAAGACGCAGTCTGCCTCCCTGGGCTCCAGACCAAAGCCAAGGCTGTCCACGGCCACTGCCAGGGCCCGTGCGAAGTGGGCATCGGCCAGGAAGGAGCCGTCCGAGGAGCTGACCAGGCTGGCTCTGGCACTGGGGGCGTTGTCCTCGGAGGCTGAGCCCCAGCCATTGGCCAGGGAGCCCTCACTGGGGGTGGGGGTGAGGCAGGGCCGAGGTGGGCACAGCAAACTCCCCACCTCAGACCCTACCCCTCCGGCAGCTCTGCCCATGTCTGCCAGCTCTGAAGCTGTGGGAACGCTGATGTACCCGTAGGTGCTGGGGGGTGAAGGAGCCCTTGGCATTGGAGAGACGCTGTTCCTAGGAAGAGGCAACATGGGAGACAGTAGGATTGTTGAGGTGCGGTAGGGCGGGACCATTCCTCCGGGAAGAGTGGAACGAGGCAGGGACAAACATACTGTAATACGGGCCTACTCACCTGGGGGTCTCCTCACCCTCACTGAGCTCCAGGCACAGGGCCACCTCCTCAGGAGTCAGCACACTGTCCTGATCCTCCCCCAGGGATGACAGCGAAGAGCTGGACAGGCGACTGGAGGTTGGGCTGGGACCGGACAGGGAGGAGGCCCGGTGGCTGGAGTGGCTGGCGGTACTGGAGGGCCTGCAGGTGGGAATGGGGGCTGCTGACAGGGGGTGGGGGGAGGGAGCTCGGGGCTCTGCCGTGTGCCTGATGGGGTAAGACATATGGCAGGATAGTTAGTGTGGTCCTTCCAGCCCCTGTCCACCCCTCCCTCACCCCATCCCACCCCATCCCTGCTTTTGGACCCCATCCCTCTTACTGGGTCTGTTGATTCTGAGTGGGGGGTTCATGAGAAGAGAGGGGTGCTGGCCGGAGAGGGCAAGTCAGCTCGCTGGAGGAGCTGAGGATCTGCGGTCCCAGGGCCCTCCAGGCAACCAGAGTTCGGGGCACAGGTCCTGGGGAACAACAGCCTGGGCATGAGAATAGTGGAACCCCCATCAGCCCCCCACCCCGGCCTGCCCCCTGCCCAGCCCTCCCCTCAGCTTCCTGCGCCTACACCCCACCCGTCAGCTTCCTCAAGGACAGCTGAAGCCGGCTGTAGGGGCTGGTGGGCCCCTGTACCCCACCTCACCGCCTCACTTCCTCTCACCTGGGCTTTGGGAAAGGTTCTTGGAGCCTTTATTTCCTGCCTCCCAGGCCCAGAGCTCCATAGGGTGGCTGCCCCGGAGCAGCGGGGAGCTGTTGGCCTGGTGCAGCTCTGCAAAGGAAGAATCGGCCATTGAGGGACAAGCCAGGGTGGGCCTGTCAGACCCCAACCTCAGGCTCCAGCTTCGGCCTCATCATTCAGTTACGCTTTAAGGGCCCTGAACAAAGAGAAAAGAGGGAAGAACCGCCCTCCCTCTTCTCCCCTTCCCACCTTCAGCCAGGCAGCTGTGAGAGGGTGGGAGGAGCACCAGGCTTGGAGTAAAAAAAATGGGCTCTCGTAGCCCAGCTGAGCCAGGCAATTGCTGTGTGCCCTCAGGTAGATCCATGAACCTTTCTGAGCCTGTTTCATTTGTAAACACTCACAGCAAATGATGGCTTTTCCAATTAAATAAACACACATCGGAACGTTCCTGGCACCTACTAGCTTTCTTCCCTTTACTGGATGTATTGCCATCTTCCCGATCTCTGTAGCCTCACATGGCTACTCTTCTCGGTAGTTTTGGCTCCTTCTTCTCTTGGAGAGAATCTATTCATTTCTACTCTTCACATTATGAAAATCTCACGTGGTTCTGGCCGGCCCTGCCCTGAGTGTCTCTCACCCAGGGACATGGGTTAGACCAGCGGTTCTCAACCTGTGGGTCGCGACCCCTTTGAGGGTCGAACGACCCTTTCACAGGGGTCGCCGAAGACCATCGGAAAACACATATATAATTACATATTGTTTTTGTGATTCACCACTATTCTTTAATTATGTTCCATTTTTAACAATGAAAATACATCCCGCATATCAGGTATTTACATTACAATTCATAACAGTAGCAAAACTATAGTTACGAAGAAGCAACGAAAATAATGTTTTGGTTGGGGGTCACCACAAAATGAGGAACTGTATTAAAGGGTCGCGGCATTAGGAAGGTTGAGAATCACTGGGTTAGACTGTCATGAATGGGTAAGACAGAAACAAGTTACCCGAGACCAGGCCAGGTGTGAAGGAAGAGGCACTTTAGAGTAGGAAGATGTGTTGGTTTCACCCAGAGAGGCAATGCCCTGCCCATAGATAGTCAATACTTGTTGGCTAAATGAGTGAATGAAGGATGCTGTTAGAGATGTAGGTGTAAACACATACAGACGTGACTCCCACTGAGGGGGAACCACACTTAGAGACAAGGCTGAGTGAACTCTGACAATAGGGAAGCCAAGGTCACTGAAAGGACTGACCCAGCCACGTACAATGCTTCCTGGTCAGGCCCAAACCCAGGTGATCTAAGTTTAAACCAGAGAGGAACTGGGTAATGTAAATAGGAAATAACAGATTTTCCCCAGACCAGGAACCAGAGCAAAGGAAGAAAGAAACAGCCTTCAGATTAGTGTCCCATGGTCAGAAGCCCAGACCAAAGGCCAGGCAGGACCCTGGAGGCAGAGCTGTCTAGTCGGTCTCATCCTAAAGCCTTGGGGGCCACCATGGCCAGTTCAGAGCAGGGACAAGACTAAGATCCCATCTGGGCCCTGGGAATCCATGGGCAGTGGCCAGATCTTCTGAGCCACTGGGATAAAAACCCACACAATGGCTGGACTTCCTCTATTGAAGTTTGCTTTCATACTTCGCCTGATTTGGTTTGTGTACATTTGCTTTCGTTGAATGACCTAGTACCTGGCTTCCGAACTAAGCTCAGAAGTGGAGACACAGGTTGGCTGGCTGGCTGGCTGGTTGGTTGTATGGAAAAGGAAGGAAGCCCTAACAGGTTTGGCTCAGTGGATAGGGCGTCGGCCTGCGGACTGAAGGGTCCCAGGTTCGATTCCGGTCAAGGGCATGGACCTTGGTTTCGGGGCACATCCCCTGGGGGGGGGGGGGTGCAGGAGGCAGCTGATTGATGTTTCTCTCTCTCATTGATGTTTCTAATTCTCTATCCCTCGTTCTTCCTCTCTGTAAAAAATCAATAAAATGTATTTTTTTTAAAAAAGAAAAGGAAGGGAAAGGCCAATTCTGGAAAAGGCCATGTTTGTCCCAGCCCTTTTCATTTCCTCTAAAGGACCCTGGTAACAACAAGCCCCTCCCCCCTTGCTCGGAAATACTTGGATTTTAGTTTCAATGTTATTTGAATAAGAAACTAGGCAATAAAAATGTTATCAAGGTCAGGCCAAATCTCACTGGCCAGCCATGAATTGCAATACATATTGGTTTGAATTAATGAGAATATTCGGTGTATGTATCTGACAAAGTATGGGGAACTAAGAACCTAGTATAATGGTTGAGACACGGGAGAGTGTGCTAATATCTATCATGGAGAAAAACCCCAACAAGAGTCAAACAGTAGGAAAAAGGAATAAATAAGTTACGGGGAATAGGGGCGCTGAGAGAGCCTGCCCGTTTTAGGAAATGAAGCCGCATCAGTTGTGGGCTAGGTGATAGCAGTGGAGCCGACGCCATGGCTCTGGACAAGGTCAGAGCATGATCTGCTGACGACTAGTGGGGACGTGGCCCACACTGGGGATCAAACTTGTAACCCGGGCACGTGCCCTGACCGGGAATTGAACTGTGACCTCCTGATTCATAGGTCGATGCTCAACCACTGAACCACGCTGGCTGGGCGGAAAGCTGGTTTTTAAATGAGATTCATGCAACCTTTTTTTAGTTGGTATTTCATTACCACTGAGATTTTCTAATGCAATAGCTTTGAGGCAAAGCTGGAAAAAATGCCAGCTTCATTAATATTTAGAGACATAAAATTTTGGATATTAGACAAGCTCCTAATTACTCTGAATCCACATTTGTTTTAATAAAAATTCAATTATAAACTTTAAAAAAATTGGCTGTTGAGCTCGACCAGTATGCCCAATGGTTGAGCCTCTACTTATGAACCAGGAGGTCACGGTTCGATTCGTTGATTCCGAGTAGGGAGCATGTAGGAGGCAGCCAATCAGTGATTCTCTCTCATCACTGATGTTTCTATCTCTCCCTCTCCCTTCCTCTCTGAAATCAATTAGACATATATTTTTTTAAAATGGCTGTTGAGCATTTGTAAGTCTCACTCATCAGTACAGAAGGCTCATGAAGACAGCAGACAGCGTGCAGGCCAATGTTCGGAGATGGGAGAAAGGAGTCAGAGAATAGGATTTCCCACGGACGCCCCCAGAGACAGTCAAAGTGGCCCTGGGAGCAGACCACTCTGACTTCAGCTCTGAGTTCTGCCCCTTATTGATGTAGGATTTTGAATGAGTTACCCAGATTTGCTCCTCTTTCCCTGTCTGTGAAATTAGAGGAAATAATACCAAGTCAATATGTTGTGAGGCTTAAATAAAATAAATATAAGTAAAGCACCTAACATAGTGGTTGCTAAAGAAACAGAAACTAGCCTGGTTGGCGTGGCTCAGTGGTTCAGCATTGACCTATGAACCAGGAGGTCACGGTTTGATTCCTGGTCAGGGCACATGCCCGGGTTGAGGGCTTGATCCCCAGTAGGGAGCATGCAGGAGGCAGCCGATCAATGATTCTCTCTCATTGCTGTTTCTCTCTCTCTCTCCTTCTCCCTTCCTCTCTGAAATCAATACAAATATATTAAAAAATAGAAAGAAACACAGACTATAATGATGTTTCTCTGGAAAGTCAAAGCAGGATGCTGGGAGTCAGGAGAGATTTGGCAGAAAGGAACTGCTCCTCTGGGGAGCAAGCTGAGAGTCAGGCCTGGGCAGACTTGTGTGGAGCACAAGGGGGGTTGTTCATGGGAACCAGAGCCTTGGTGCCAGCACTGGGCACATTCTGGGCACATCCTGCCAGGTTCTGGAATGACTGGTGTGCTGGTCAGGCACTTGCGTTAGACTTTGAGCCCTTAGGGGGCGAGGACCGTGTCTGGTGTCTCTTGGGCCCTGGTGCTCGCTTATCAACATGTGGAGTTGAGCTGATTACAGAGGCAGGGCCCCTCCTGGTGCAGCCAAACTGAAAACAGAGCCCGTGTAGAGAAAAGCTGAGGCCAGCATGGCCCTCGCCGAGTGCGTCAGTGATGGGGATCCAGGAGGACAGGCCAGTCAAAGCTGTGGGTGGGGTGCTACCCACACCCGCCTGCCAGGGCCCAGGCCACATTCCCACCACATTCCCACTCCTGGGTCCTCCTCCCGCCTGCTCTGGGCTTGATCTGCGACCCCGTCCTTACCTTGCTTCTTTTTGGCCTTCCAAGCCTCTGCAGGGGCTACAGAGAAGCGAGGGGAAGAGAGCCCCCGGCGGCTGCAGAGGCTGTCGGAACTGGGCCAGGGGCTGGAGAGCCGGGCCAGCTGAGGTCGGAGGCGCCTGAGAGCTGGGGCCTGGGGGCTTGGCCGGGCTGGGGGGCTGGAAGGCAGCTCAGCGATGAGGGAGCCATAAAAAGTGCGGGTGTCGGGAAGCAGAGGCACCCCAGGGCTGCGGGGATCCCAGGAGATCACTGCAATAAGACACAACAGGAGGAGTGATGGTGAGTCATCCTGCCCACGGCTCCCTCCTCCAGCCCTGGGGTCTCTGTTCCACTGCCAGGCCCTGGCCACCTCTGGGCATGCTCACAGGAGCGCCGGCGGTCCAGTGGGTCCCGGGGGTCCACTCCCAGCCGGCTGCTAAGGCTGCTGCTGCTGCTCAGGTCCCGAGAGCAGGAGGTGGATCGCCAAGTGTCTGCCAGCCAGGGGGAGTCGCTGTGGTCCATCCTGCAGCAATGGGGGAGGGGGGGAGCAAGGGGGGAGGTAGGGACAAGGGCAGGAGAAACAGCGTAAAGCAAGAACCACGGGGTAGCCGAAGGAGGTGAGGAGATGGTGCTAGAGCAGCGGTTCTCAACCTGTGGGTCGCGACCCCTTTGGCCTAAGACCATCAGAAAACACATATATAATCACATATTGTTTTGTTTTATTTTAAAAATATATTTTATTGATTTTTTCTACAGAGATGAAGGGAGAGGGATAGAGAGCCAGAAACATCGACGAGAGAGAAACATCGATCAGCTGCCTCCTGCACACCTCCCACCGGGGATGTGCCCGCAACCAAGGCACACGCCCCCGACCGGAATTGAACCCGGGACCCTTCAGTCCGCAGGCCAACGCTCTATCCACTGAGCCAAACCAGTCAGGGCTCACGTATTGTTTTTGTGATGAATCACTATGCTTTAATCATGTTCCATTTGTAACAATGACAGTGGGGGTCACCACAACATGAGGAACTGTATTGAAGGGTCTCGGCATTAGGAAGGTTGAGAACCACTGTGCTACAGGCTTTATTCTACCTACTTTTAAGCCCTTCAGACTCTTTAAAATCTCTGCACTGATGTCTCCAACTCAGTGCCCGTTCTTATCCTGGTTATCTGGGGAAGTCCAGGTTGCCCAGAGATAAGAGGTATTAAAAAGAAACAGCTGTGTGCTAAGATAAAAAGCATATCTCTCTGGAGCCAGACAAACCCAGTTTGAAAATCCCAGTTGGCAAAAAAAAAAAAAAAAAAAAAAAAAATCCCCGTTGGTCGCAGCCCAGCTGTGCATCCCTGGGAGCAAGTCTGTCAGCCTCTCTAAGCCCCAGTTCTCCATCTGTAAAAGTAACAACGCCCTTCCATATAAGGCTGATGCTGTGCGCTGGGGCCAGGAAACATGAGGTCATGCGCTGGCAGAGCAGAGCTTGCTACGTGAATGTGGCCTCGCGACCTCTAGTCTGGTTCCCTTCGAACAGGGGGCCATGCAGGCTGCCTGAGTCATGTTTCAACAGCGGGGACCAGCCAACGCGCTTCTCTGCCTGAAACCTCCCGTGGCTCCCCTTTACCCAGAGAGCGCCCGGCTGCCTGGCATGGCGAACAGGGCCCCCAGTCTGGTTTCCAACTGTCTGACCAGACCCATCTCACACGTTATGTCCCAGGCAGACCAAACGGCTTTTCCTTCCCTGCGAACATGGCGGCGATTTCCGGCTGCCCGCGTTGGCCTTCTCCTTCTCACTGTCAGGGTCAATGTGAAACCTCCCTCTGGAATTTCCCCACCCCAGTCTCCTCCATGTATCTTGTACATGTGTCTTCATGTCCAACTCTGGATTGCATTCGCTTGGATGTCTCTGTCTAGACTGGTGGTTCCCAACGCAGGGCACCCCCCCACCCTACAGGGATGCAATTTGATTTTTAAGGGGGGCAATTTGAGAATGAGTTATTAACAGTGAATTTTTTGCATTTCCGATGGCTCTAGGGGCCTCATATACAGTTTATAAATATACATTGTGACATATTTATGCATTCCAGTTCTCTATTACCGGTATGTGTTTTGAAACTTTATTTGCTATTTTTTTCATATCACTTCATATTATTATTATTATTTTAAACAATTTCTTAGTGATTTCTTTCTCAGTACTTCATCTGTCCTTTCGTTCTTTTATTTTTCTCTTTCATGGATGCCATGTTCTTCGAAGCTTGTTTAGACAAGTTAATGGCCTTTTAGGCTTCCTCCATGTGAATGGGAGTTCACTTTTTGAATCATAAGAATTATATGTCACGGGGTGGGAGTGGGCATCAGGATTTTAGAGATGCTTAGGTGGGGCGTGGCCAAAAGAGGTTGGGAACCACTGGTCTAGACTGAGTTCCTGGCAGATGGAGACTGTTCTAGAGAAATGAATGAATCTCCCTCAAGGATGGGGTGAAGTCCCAGGGAGACAGAGAACGTTCAGGGCAGAGCTGACAAAGCCCAGGTGGAAACTCAAGAGAAAGGCCAGTGGGCACAGAAAACACAGGAAGGAACCTTGCTCTGAGCTGAGACACTGACAGAAAAAGGGTCTGGCTGGATGTATCTGGCACCTCGGAGGTGCTCGATAAACGTCTGTTGAAAGATGCAGACCTGGGCTATGAAACTTCCCAGAGGAAGTCTAATGCGATAAAGAGCAGGAGAATGTGGGCAGATGAAATGGTTATTTTAGTGTAAAACCCGGCCAACAGGATGAAAAAGCATGCTTGCTTTCTGAGTCTCTTGCAGCCAGACACACTTGAAGCAGAGGTCCCTGCAGCCGCCCTATGGTGTAGGGGCAGAGCGCCCTCTACTGGAACTGTGGGTGGACTGCCGTGAAGGAAAGGTGGCTCCATAGGTTAAGTGACGGACGGAAAGCAAAGGCAAAGGTACTGCTAGGTGAACTCTGAGTGCACAGAGAAAATCAGGAACTAGGCTGCCCCTCCCACGCTAATGATTCTCCACCCAGGAGGATGACTCGGCAGGAAAGTGTAGTCAGTATTATCAGTGAGAGCTTGGTGACAAGAGCATTGGATGAGGACAGTGGTTCTCAACCTTCCTAACGCCGCGACCCTTTAATACAGCTCCTCACGTGACCCCCAACCATAACATTATTTTCGTTGCTACTTCATAACTGTGATTTTGCTACTGTTATGAATCGTCGTGTAAATATCTGATATGCAGGATGTATTTTCATTGTTACAAGTTGGACATCATTAAAGCATAGTGATGAATCACAAAAACAATATGCAATTATATATGTGTTTTCCGATGGTCTTAGGCGACCCCTGTGAAAGGGTCGTTCGACCCCCCAGAGGGGTCTCGACCCACAGGTTGAGAACCGCTGGATCAGGAGTTCAGGGGCCAGCTGTGTTGCCTTGGGCAAAGCTACTTAAGCCTATGATTCTGTTTACTCTCTGACAAGTGGTCTGATAGTAACATTATTGAAAGAGAAAACAATTCTCACTTGAAGTTGAGGAGAGAGACAGATACGAGGCAGGACTCCAAACTGCCTGGCGTAAGGGAGACTCCATCCAATTCTCTGTTCCAGCTCCAGTGACCCTGGGTCCCCCTGCCCCGCCCTCACCTCAGGCCACGCCCCTTTCACGTCTCACCTGTGTTTTAGGATGGCGTCCTCGCTGGTATATCTATACAGACCTGGGAGAGGACAGGAAGAAGGCTCAAGGTAGAGTCCCCAGCATCAGGCTAGAGAGCTAACCCCAATAGTGTTCTTTTAAAAATATATATATTTTTGTTGATTTCAGAGAGGAAAGGAGCGGGGGAGAGAGTCAGAAACATCGATGATGAGAGAGAATCACTGATTGGCTACCTCCTGCATGCCCTTCCTGGGAATCAAGCCCACAACCCAGGTATGTGCTCTTGACAAGAAATGAACCCGGAACCCTTCAGTCCTCAGGCCGAAGCTCTATCCACTGAGCCAAGCCAGCTAGGACCCCCCTATAGTGTTCTTACTGGACCCAGTGAGTCCTGACCCCCTGGAGTCTGCTTCCCTCTCTCACCTGGGCCCAGGTGCACCCCAGCGCGGCGCCGGCGGTGGATACACACAGTGGTGCCCAGCAGCAGCAGCCAGAGCAGGACAGCCCCGGTGGCAATGACCTCTGGACGCTTCAACGTTGCTCTCAGCTGCTCCAGGATCCATGGGCCGGGGTCTTTGGGCTCCCAGGTGGCTCGCTCCATGGTCTGCTCTGTATAGGATTTGGAGCTCAGGGGTAGGGGGCAGGGGGAACAACGAGGGTCGGACAGAGAAGGGGGAAGAGCTGGAAGTGGGAAGTGCGGACAATGAGAGGAAGGTGGGCATTGGGGCTGAGGAATGTGGGTGGGACCAGTGGAGACTCTCCTCACCTAAAATGAGGCAGACGGGGCTACTGGGCTCCCCAGCCCCAGCGCCGGTGACGGCAGCCACCTGCACACAGTAGGAACCTGGCGTTTGGGTGGCAATCTCCAGCTGGGTCTGCTCACCGGCCACTGTCCAGTTGGTTGGCGGCCATGAGGTGTTGCTCAGGCTCCACACCTAAGGACAGGCAGGGTGAGCAGTGCCCCCAGGCACCATCCCAGCTGCTGGGCCCTTCATCTGCAGTCAGACTCCGAGCCTGTGGTCACCCTGCCCTGGGGTTGACCAGGGAACACTCCCCTCATAACCACCCCCACTTCTCATCCTGTCCTGGGCCCTACATTCAGCCTCACTTTCCGCGTCTGTAAATTGGGGATAAGAACCAGGTGGACCAGGGGATGAAATGAGACCAGGGAGCTAACTGCTTGGCACGGGCTGGCAGAGGCTCACTTATCAATAGTGGGTGCTCCTCGCTTCTCTGCACGGGTTCACTTCTCAGTGCCCAGAGCGAGGGCACGCAGGATGCCAGGGGAGAGGGAGGCCTCGGCACCCCTAGGAAGGGGTGTGTCAGATTGTGGGAGTACCTGGTAGCCACGGATGATGCCATTGTGGTTTTTAGCAGGTGGTGGGACCCAGTTCACAAGGATGCTGCCATTGCCCGATTTTAGGGTCACCTCCTGGGGAGGGGCGCTGGGCACTGGGGGTGGGAGAGAGGAGATAGGAATGAGGGAGTTCTAGGGAGAAGGCTGGGATGGGGACACAGGGGCAGAGGCCACACTGATGAGAATAAGCGCTCCGCTTGCCTGACCAGGGCAGAGGGATCCACGAGCAGGACCCACCATCCCCCCAGACTGCAGTGGGACAGTCCTCCAGGCCCCCCAGACTGGAGTGGGACAGTCCTCCAGGCCCCCCCAGACTGCAGTGGGACAGTCCTCCAGGCCCCCCCAGACTGGAGTGGGACAGTCCTCCAGGCCCCCCCAGACTGCAGTGGGACAGTCCTCCAGGCCCCCCCAGACTGGAGTGAGACAGTCCTCCAGGCCCCCCAGACTGGAGTGGGACAGTCCTCCAGGCCCCCCCAGACTGGAGTGGGACAGTCCTCCAGGCCCCCCAGATTGGGGTGGGACAGTCCTCCAGGCCCCCCAGACTGGAGTGGGACAGTCCTCCAGGCCCCCCCAGACTGGAGTGAGACAGTCCTCCAGGCCCCCCAGACTGCAGTGGGACAGTCCTCCAGGCCCCCCAGACTGGGGTGGGACAGTCCTCCAGGCCCCCCAGACTGCAGTGGGACAGTCCTCCAGGCCCCCCAGACTGGGGTGGGACAGTCCTCCAGGCCCCCCCAGACTGGAGTGGATAGTCCTCCAGGCCCCCCAGACTGGAGTGACACCAGAGGTCTATTGTTGGTCGTGGGCACCTGTCCCTGACCTTGCTCAGGCAGCCTCAGGAGCAGCACGTTGCTGTCAGGGCCCCGAGCCCGGCCGGAGGACGGTCTCACTTTGAACTCGTAGTCTTGACCCCAGCGGAGGCCCCCGAGCTCCGCGCTCTGCGAGCCAGCCAGCGGGGCCTCTGCCCACGGAGCTCCCTGGCCTCCTGGCACCGGCTGGGTCCTGAATAGCGCCGTGTAGGACTGGGCAGGGGCAGCAGGGCCGCTGACCTGGGAGAGAGTCCGGAGAAAGGTGGGGGGTCAGGGACGCGGTCCTGTCTGGACCCCGGACTGGTTCCAGCCCTGGGAGCCAGGCCTCACCTTCCAGCTGAGCCACACGGCAGGCGCAGGCTTGGTGCCCTCGGAGGGACCCGGGTTCAGCAGGGTCACGTTTTCCAGCTGAATGCGCACAGCCAGAAGCTCCAGAGGCTCTGGGGGAGAACAGGGCTGGGGTGGGGGCTCCAGGCCCAAGTGAAGGAACTGAGGGGTCCGGGATCCCTTAGCTGCCGAGAACCCAAAACTCCCAGCTTCCTCAGAACTAGAGCGCTCCTATCTCCACTGTAGGATGGGGAAGCAAACCTCCCCTAAGATGGGGTCCACCATCTGATGCCAATCCCAGGTTGAACCTCACATACCCTAACCTCAGCCCAAACCAGACCACACCAGCCTAACCAGACACCCCCTCCCACGCCCCCCCCCCACCCCCAGCCCCGCACTGGCCCTGATGTTAGCTCCCTGCCTTACCCTGGACAGACACCCTGGCTGCCCGGCTCTTCCGCTGTCCCGCGTTGTTGGTGGCTACACACATATAAGTCCCTGAGTCACTCTTCTCTGCTCTTAGCATCCGCAAGGAGCCACTGGACACCTGTCAGGACAGGCACATGCGCAGTCTCCCGTGAGGGGAGGGGCTCTGACAGGGGAGGCAAGCTGAGGGCCTTGCCGCCTTCCTCTCCTCAAATTCTGCGGGGGCACTCAGAAGGCGGGTCAGTCCCCAGGGGGTGCCCTGTAGTGGGCACTCAGGAGGCGGGTCAGTCCCCAGGGGGTGCCCTGTAGTGGGCACTCAGGAGGCGGGTCAGTCCCCAGGGGGTGCCCTGTAGTGGGCACTCAGGAGGCAGGTCAGTCCCCAGGCGGGCCCTGTCGTGGGCACTCAGAAGGCGGGTCAGTCCCCAGGGCAGGCCCTGCAGGGGGCACTCAGAAGGTGGGTCAGTCCCCAGGGCGTGCCCTGTAGTGGGCACTCAGAAGGCGGGTCAGTCCCCAGGGCAGGCCCTGCAGGGGGCACTCAGAAGATGGGTCAGGCCCCAGGGCGTGCCCTATATATAGTGCTGGGACAGGAGGAGGCATGGGGAAGGGGGCTATACTCACCCTGTGCCGCCCCGGCTGGAGGGCCAGGGGTTTCTCATCCTTCCACCACAAGACCGTGGGCTCTGGGTAGCCCCAGGGTGGCCAGCACTCCAGGATCACCTGCTCGCCCACCGTGGCCACTGTGTCCTGGGGCTGGACCCGGAAATCCTCCTGAAGGACTGTGGGGAGGAAGGAGGCTCTGGGGGGAGCAGTGCCCAGTCCTCCCCTCCCCAAAGGCCCCCCTTGGTGTCTCCTGCCACACCTGCCCCATTCTATTTTTTCACGACTGTGCCCACTCTTCAGAGACCCACCTCCTAAGAGTTCCATGTAGGTTCACCCCCAACTCAGCTCTCTCATCACGGTTCCCAGTCTGATATCCCTTCCAACCTCCCTCTGACGCCAATCCCTGGTTGAACCTCACATACTGTAACCTCAGCCAAAACCAGCCCACACCAGCCTAACTGGAGCCTCCCCCTCACCCCCCAAAACACACACACACACATTAATCCTCACAGATACCCCTTCAAACCTCCCTCAGCACAGGCATTATCACCCAGGTGTGCCCACCCCGGCTCCCCTCCCAGGCCTCACCAGCCGCAGACAGCCGCGCGCCGCGGCTCACCGCTGTGCCCAGCCGGTTGCTGGCCTCACATGTGTAGATGCCCAGGTCCGTGGATAGGGCCTGGTTGTTTCGGGCGTGAGCCTGGGTGGAGGGCCAGTGCAGCAGCAGGGTTCCATCAGGTAGGAGCTGGTGTGTGTCTGGGGGCTCCATGCTCAGGGGCTGCCCATTCAGCAGCCAGTGGATGGTGGGAGGCGGCTGGCCGGAGGCTTGGCAGCTCATCTGGACGGGCTCAGGGCCTTGGAGCAGCTGGTCCTGGGGGTGGACTATGATCTGGGGTGGGGAGTCCTGAGCCGTGCCTCCTGGAAGGGAAAGGGAGGTGGAGCCCAGTCTGACTACCATCAGGTGCCCAGATCCCTGCATTCCTCACCTGCCTTCTCTCCTCTGAGGATCAATTCAAAGGAAGGAGACCTTTCGAACTCTCAATCTGTCAGTCTCTCTCTCTCTCTCTCTCTCTCTCTCTCTCTCTCTCTCTCTCACACACACACACACACACACACACACCATCATCATCATCAACAACATCATCATCATCTCTTGCAAAGGAGCAAGGGGGGCCTCTTCTTCCCTGGCCAGGCCCTGGATCCAGGGAGCCTGAGCTAGGAGAGGGGGTGGCCACACTCACCCATGAACAGAAGCAGGAGAGGCAGGGGCCACCAGACCCCAGGGAGACCCGCTCCTCCGGAGCCCATGGCTGCTCTCAGGTCTCTGTCCTGGTCCCAAGCACTTTGTCTTGCGGCTCTGAGCTCACAGGGAGGGGAGGGGCGGGCAGGCCGTTGGTGGTTGTTTGTGGCCAAGACTGCCCCAGAGGGAAGCAGCTCTGAGGAAACCGATGCTTCCTGCCTGGCCCTCGGTGCCTTGAAGAACTGGGAGGCGCCCAGAGGAGAGAAACACCCTGGCTCCCAACCCCAGCCCTGAGGTTTACCTTGTGATCTAGTCTGGGATTTCTTTTTATTTTATTTTTTTAAATATATTTTTATTGATTTCAGAGAGGAGAAAGAGGGAGAGAGAGAGATAGAAAATATCAATGATGACAGAGAATCATTGATCAGCTGCCTCCTGCACGCTCCCTACTGGGGATCAAGCCTGCAACCGAGGTACATGTCCTTGACCGGAATCGAACCCGGGACCCTTTAGTCTGCAGGCTGACGCTCTGTCCAGTGAGCCAAATCGGCCAGGGCTAGTCTGGGATTTCTTAAAGGCAATCCTCACACTAACCATAACTCTAACCACAGCTTTGACCCTTTAACCCTAAGCCTGTACTTAAACCTTGAGTCTCCATCCTTATTCCTTTGCTTTCAAGTGACCCTTGCTAGAGTGGACCGGAAAGCCAGAGGAAACTGAGCCGAGTGGAGCGGTCACTCCTCGGTCCATTCCTCAAGGATTGATGGAGCAGGGGGCTGGGTGGGACAGAAGACAGGAAGGCTTCCGAGGCTCTGGGACAAGCTGGAGATGCCTATTCCGCTCAGAGACAGATGAAATAAGCTGGGAGACCGTGGGCACGTTCCCTAACGCCTGCATGTCACTCATCTGTAAGTGGGGAGAATAACAGCAGTGCGTACCTTGGGGGATGGAGCAAGAATGCGATGAGATAAAACATAAATCACTTAGTCCGGTCACCTAATGCATTATACGTGCTCAGTAAGTTTAACCAATGCTGTTATTTTTATGCACACCCCATCACGGGAACTATTCAAGCATCCTCAGCTGGGGTACTTCAGGCCCCGGGATGGTGGCTTGAGTCTGATATTTAAGAGTCTTTCCAGCCTTGAAACCTTGTGTCTGCTGCCGACAGGCCTGTAGCTTCTGAGCCTGCTGCTTCCCACCCCCCTCCCTGGAGAGAGGCTGCATTCCCCTCTCAGAGCCCACCTCCTGTTTACAGGTTTCTTCCTTCCAAATCTGGAATGTCAGCCATTTCCTGGAGCTGTTCCCGGAAAGCCAAGGCCGCCAAGGCCGCCAAGGCCGGGCTCTGGGGGCTCAACGGAAGACTGTCCAGCCTTTGTTTCCAGTAGTTCCTGGCCAGCTCCTCCGTGAGGCCCCTAACCCAGCTGACTCCCTCGCTTCCTCCCCTTCCCATCCTGGCGTTGTACCAGCCACAGCCACAGCCCTAACAGCCCATGAAGAGGAGTGAAGACCCGGCTGGTGGCTGGCATGGCTCAGTGGTGGAGCGTCGACCTATGAACCGGGAGGTCACGGTCTGATTCCAAGTCAGGGCACAGGCTCGACTCCCAGTGTGGGGTGTGTAGGAGGCAGCTGATTGATTCTCTCTCATCATTGATGTTTCTTTCTCTCCCTCTCCCTCTCCCTCCCTCTCTGAAATCAATAACAAAATAAAGAGGTGGGAAGGCCTCTTTCACAACTCCTCTTCCCCTTCAAATGCAGACCAAGACTGATTGAGACAATTAGAACAAGAGAACACAGTGGTTCTTACAACCTGAGCGCTTCCAAGGGGTGGAGAATAGACAATGAAAGTAATTGAGTGACAGAGCTGGAAGGATAGGGACTGGGACCAGAGGAGAGCTTGGTATTTCAGAACTGGAGGTGCTAAGGCAGTGCTTCTCAACCTTCTGGCCCTTTAAATACAGTTCCTCATGTTGTGACCCAACCATAAAATTATTTTCGTTGCTACTTCGTAACTGTCATGTTGCTACTGTTATGAATCGTCATGTAAATATCTGATATGCAGGATGGTCTTAGGCAACCCCTGTGAAAGGGTCGTTTGACCGCCAAAGGGGTCGCAACCCACAGGTTGAGAACCTCTGAGCTACGGGCAGTGGTCAAGTCCACGGCATGTGTGCCAGGCGGAGTGGCACAGAGTTTACCGGGTCAAGGACCCGTGGAGCCAGAGGGATAAAGGGGTATTCATGTGGACACTGCAGTCATCCAAGGGTGACAAGAAGGATGTGCTGAGGCAGATGAATTTACTGCACACCCTGCCAGCCTGAGATTTCCCAGAGACAGAGCCCTGAGAACTGTTTGGTAGGGGACCAGACTGACTGCTGGCTCCCCAAGAATGTTGCTGTCAGCAGTCCTTTGGTAGCCTCTCCTGCTTGCACACTGGACTTGGGGAGATTAACCAAGTTCTCTGCTAAGGACTGAATGCCAACTGGATTTATCTCAAACGTGTGCAATCTAGAAAGATGGTATAAAACCCCCTCAGGGGGGAAGATGGCAAGTCCCAAAGGAATTTGGATTCATGACTAGCCCTGTCCTCAGCTGAGTGAGAATGGACAGGTGGCACAGTGCGGAAAGGTGCCAGTGCTGGACGGCAGGAACAGAGCCTCAGAGGCTACGACAGCCTGAGGAATGGCCCCCACCCCACAGTCATGTGCCTCATCCCTGGAGATCACCTCCATTCCATTCCATTCCATTCCATTCCATTCCATTCCATTCCATTCCATTCCATTCCATTCCATTCCCTCTATTCCCAGACTCCGGAGGACCAAGTGCTAAGAACCAATGGGGATAGAAGGGGCCAATTACTCTGAGCTGTGCCTGTAGGCCAGTGGTTCTCAACCTGTGGGTCGCGACCCCTTTGGCGGTCGAACGACCCTTTCACAGGGGTCGCCTGAAACCATCCCTCATATCAGATATTTACATGACGATTCATAACAGTAGCAACATTACAGTTATGAAGTAGCAACGAAAATAATTTTATGGTTGGGTCACAAGATGAGGAACTGTATTTAAAGGGCCAGAAGGTTGAGAACCACTGCTGTAGGCCATTAACGTCCTTCCCCTTACTTGGTCCAAGCATCAGGGACACTCAGGGATCCATGGAGTGGTTGCCCAAGGGGAGTTCCCAACAGTAAGATGGCTCTAGATGGCTCCCAGAGACCACAGTGCTCACTTCCGGCAACCTGGCCCATCAGCATCCTGACTGTCTCATTCCCACACACGAAGGAAGAGTTGGCTGCGTGAGTCAAGCGGATTCTGTCAGTGGGAGGTGCCTTCACTTTTAAGGAAGTTCTGCTCCTTGCCCTGGTGATCTGCAGACCCAGTGGCCAATTTAGAAAGTACCTTCCTTTGCCCTCTGGTTTTAAAGTGTTGAGGCTTGTGAGTGTCTGTTAGTTGCCTGTAAGAGGGGAGAGAAAGGGCAGGGATTGAGTGCCCTTCTAAAGGACCCTCCAGAGGAAAAATGCCCGCCTCTCGTTCCTGGCTCCTCTGGCTTCCTATTTCATGTTCTCTGGAGATGCAGTGGGGGATGCCTGCTGGCCAAGCGAATGGGGTAAAAGGTAAGGATTCGGGTAGGACTGAAGGCAGGTACACTCTGTGGAGATCCTGGTTCCACTGGCAGAGAGACCTTGAGTGTCACATAGCCTCTCCGAGCCCCACTTCCCTCGTCAGGATATGTCGGTATGAGGTTTATGGGTAGGGGATGTGGAATTGCTTTGAGAACACTAGCTATGCGTTAATTATCCCTTGGGTGTTCTAGGAATGGCACATCTCCTCCCTGACCAACCTCAGTCAGCCTCAACCACCCCTAGGTACTCTTTTAGGTCCATCTATGTTGTTGCAAGTGGTAAGGTTTTGTTCTTTTTTATGGTTGAGTATTATTTCATACTATATAGGTACCACATCTTCTTTATCCAATTGTCTACTAAGGATCATTTATGTTACTTTTATATCTTGGCTATTGTAAATATTGGCTATTGTAAATATTGCTGCAATGAACATGTGAATGAATGCATATATCTTTTTGAATTGGTATAAAAATTAGTTGGATTTCTTTGGAGAAATACCCAGACATGGAATTGCTGGGTCATCAGGTACTTCTGTTTTTAATATTTTTAGGAACCTCCATACTGTTTTCCATCGTGGCTGCACCAATTTACAATCCCACCGACAGTGCCCAAGAGTTCCCTTTTTCCACATCCTCACCAACACTTGTTGTTTATTGATTTAGTGATGACAGCCATTCTGACATGTGTGAGGTGATATCTCACTGTGGTTTGAGTTTACATTTCTCTGATGGTTGGTGACATTGAGCATCTTTTCATATGGCTGTTGGTCATCTGTATGTCCTCTTTGGAGAAATATCTTCAGGTTTTCTGCTCATTTTTAAATTGGACAATTTTGTTGTTTTTGGTGCTGAATTGAGTTCTTCATAAGTTTTGGATACAAACCCCTTATCAGATGTATCCTTGGCAAATATCTTCTTCCATTCAGTAAGTTATCTTTTAGCTTTGTTGATGGTTCCTTTGCTGTGCAAAAATGTTTTAGTTGATGCGGTACCATTTGTTTATTTTGTCTTTTGTTTCCCTTGCCCAGGGAGATATATCAGGAAAAATATTGCTAAGAGAAGAGTCAGAGTTTCCTGCCTATGTTTTCTTCTAGTAGTTTTATGATTTCAGGTCTTACATTTAAGCCTTTAATCTATTTTGAGTTTATTCTTGTATATGGTGTAAAAAAGTGGTCTAGTTTCATTTTTTTGCATATATCTGTTCAGTTTTCCCAACACCATTTATTGAATAGACTGTGTTAACCCCATTATCATAGCATGGGCTTATTTCTGGGCTCTCTATTCTGTTCCATTGATCTTATGTGTCTGTCTTTATGCCAGTTCCATGCTGTTTTGATTACTATAGCCTTGTAGTATAGTTTGAGATCAGGTAGTGTGATACCTTCGACTTTATTCTTCTTTCTCAATAGCTGTGGCTATGGGGGTCTTTTGTAGTCCTATATAAATTTTAGGATTATTTGTTCTGGTTCTGTGAAAAATGACATCGGTATTTTGATAGTGATTGCATTGAATCTATAGGTTTCTTTAGGTAGTGTGGACATTTTAATCTGGTTCTCCAGTGCAGCGGGAAACTTGGTCTGTGACTGGCAGTGTGTGCCACTGCTGTGGTTTCACTAAATGAATACCTTCCTGAATGCCGAACATCAGCACCAGCTGTGACCTCATGGAGAGGACGAGACCGGCTACACCACCTCCTCCACCCTTCAGCTGCTGTCGTGCAGCCTCTAAAGTTACTATCTTGACCACCTTTTTCTTCCCAAAGAATTCAAGGACCCTGGAGTAGTCTCATTCTGATACCTCCCTTTCAATTTATCTGCTATTATTTTCCTGCATTTTATTTGTCTGAATTTTGGGAACCACAGATTAGACATTATTATCATTTTATAAAGGACTGTTCAGATTCGCCTTTCTCTTTGTACTCATCTCTTTGCTTACCATTCTTTCTTGTACCTTAAATATTTCTTTTTTTAAAAAAATATATTTTATTGATTTTTTTACAGAGAGGAAGGGAGAGAGATAGAGAGTTAGAAACATCGATGAAAGAGAAACATCGATCAGCTGCCTCCTGCACATCTCCCACTGGGGATATGCCCGCAACCCAGGTACATGCCCTTGACCGGAATCGAACCTGGGACCTTTCAGTCCGCAGGCCGACGCTCTATCCACTGAGCCAAACCGGTTCTGGCTTAAATATTTCTTTTGGAATAATTTTCCCTCTTCCTAAAATATTTTTAGGAGGTTTTTTTTTGTTTTTTTTTTGTGTGTTTTTTTTAGTCTTGATGGTAAACTGTAGTTTTTGTTTTTCTGATAATATCCTTCTTTTGCCCTCCGATATGGAAGTTTGCTTTGCTAAGTATTCTAGGCTAACAGTATATAATAATAATATATATATTATTGATTTTTTTACAGAGCAGAAGGGAGAGGGATAGAGAGTTAGAAAAATCGATGAGAGAGAAACATTGATCAGCTGCCTCTTGCACACCCCCTACTGAGAGTCCAAATCTATTGCTTCTTAATCTGCAGACTCTCCTTCATGGTGATTTGTTTCCATCTGTGTTTATGACCTTTCACTGTAATTCATCTTTGGTTGGTCTTAATCTCTGACAATTTTAGGAGGTGCTTTTCTCTAGAGAGGATTTGCAATTTTATTTTATGTGTGTTTTTTAAATATTTTAAAATTGATTTTTAGAAAGAGAGAAAGGGAGAGGGAGAGAAACATTGATGTGAGAGAGAAACACAGATTGGCTGCCTTGCATGTCACCCCACCAGGTATTGAGCCCCCAACCAGGATGACGCCCAACCTACTGCGCAACACCAGCCAGGGCTAAATTTTTATTGTCGAAGCCTGGGATACGACCAACAGGACACCAATTTAATACGGGCATCTCAGGTCCAGCTCCTCCACCTTGTCACTTGTCCAAGACTAGTTTCCATTACAGAGCTATGTAAACATTTATCCCTGGGCAATCCACATTTTATGGGGACTAGGTAGTCTGGACTCATGTTACACTGCCAAGATTTCACACATGCTGCTCCTTCTGCCTCCAATATGTGTTCTTTCATCCTTTTTTCCTTCTCCTCCACCTGATTAACGAATCTTCCTAACACGAAATTCAGGCCTATTCTCCTCCAAGATACTTTAATCTGGGTTAAAGAACACTCCTATATGCTCGCAGAGCGCCCTGTATCTGCCTCTATCGTTGCATCTTCCATACTGTATTGTAATAATCTGTTTACCCATCTGTCTTCCTCCATGAGGCTTCTGGGTAGGAGTCCTGGCATAGTTATGCTTGTTAGGTTTGATCAAATAATTGAATCGACACCCCTCCCCTGGGAGTTGACTTTTAGGCCACTTCACAAGGGACATTTCCTTTCCCTTAGACCACATTCCATTTGCTAAGACCATTATCTCTGGACTTTCCCAGAATCCCGACCTGCCCAGAGAATTCTCCGCCCAGAAAAAGCCTGCCTAGAGTCCTTTAAAATCTCTGACTCCTGCCCTAGTTGGTTTGGCTCAGTGGATAGAGCATCGGCCTGCAGACTGAAGGGTCCCAGGTTCAATTCCGGTCAAGAGCATGTACCTTGGTTGCGGGCACATCCCCAGTAGGGTCTGTGTAGAAGGCAGCTGATCAATGTTTCTAACTCTCTATTTCTCTCCTTTCCTCTCTGTAAAAAATCAATCAATAAAATATATATTTAAAAATAAATCTCTGACTCCCTGCCCCTGGGTGCTGGTGCCATTTGGGGGCTAGCCCATCTGGTATCCAGATGACCAAATAAATTTATAATCCCTTACCACTTTGGCCTTGTGCATTCCTCCTTCGGCAACCCTAACAATGCTGTTTCCTCAGTGTCCATCACAGGGCCTGGGCCATGGTAGAGTAACAAATGTTTATGAATTAATGAAAGAATACCTGAATGGATGAATGTCGGTGAATGATTTTGGAATAGACAATTTGGGGTTTTCAAAAAGGATGAAGGGTGGTGAAGGAAGAGGAGAAGAAAAAAGGGAAATGACTGATGTTTTTAAGTTTGTTTTGTTCTCCTTGCTTAAGTGGAAGAAAGATGTCATTTCATTTCATCAAAAGTTTATTGAGCATCCAGTATGTGCTAGGCACGCTGCTAGATGCTAGTAATACAAAGATGAAGATCCAAACAAAATACAAGAGAAACAAAATCCACTTCCTCACTCCCCCAACCTCCCCAACCCCACGCAAGGTAAATTTGGCTTCAGCCGGGGAAGCTGGGCCTGGGCCCTCAGGGATTCAGCATCAGGGTACGGAATACAGCAGACTCTCATCTCATCCCACCCTAATCTTCACCCCTGCCTCTCAAGGCTGACCAGCATCTTCCCCTTCTCTGAGTCCTGCATCTCACACCTGCCTGAGCAACTTACCCTACACCTATTATCTCTGGATGAGGCACCTGGGAAGGTTAGGGGAGGAGTTCTGGACAACTAAGGGGAGCTGCAAAAGCATGCAGGCTCAAAGGAGCCACAGGCACGCTGGCAGGCAGAGGGGGAGGGGCCAACTAGAGATGCTTTTGCCCTTGGGGCTGGGACAAAACTTGCCCCAGGGTGAAGGGTGGAGACAGGGGCCTTAGGAATTGCTCTGTGGGATGGTGGAGAGTCAGAACTGGAGCTTAGGAGGTTGAGGAGGGGCCTGGGGTGCAAGGACCCCTAGAGGCATCAGAAAACAGAGGTCAACTCAGAAAGTCTCCTCTTCCAGCTTTTCAATTGCCCTCTCTCCTCACACAGTAGATTATTGTCTTTCCTACAATTGGTCCATAGGCTGGGGCATGGGCCTGGCCTGGCTACACAATGGCCCTACCTCCCTGTATTCAGATGCTGTGTGCTTAGGGAGTCTGCCCTTCTCCAGTCTCTTGGGATCTGAGTATCTGGGAGCAGGGCAGGTAGAGGGGGGAGCCAAGGGAGCAATGAGCCTCCCCCACTATCTCCCCCCCCCCACACACACACACTTCATTTCTCTAGAAAGTCAAACCTTATTCTCTCACAGCTGGAGAGAGCCCACAGCCTTTCAAGGGGGATTATGATTGTTTGAAAGGCTTGTTGTGTAAGGAAGCCAGGCAGAAGGCACAGGTGTGAGGGTTAAAAACGGTTCTTCACGTGATCTAGCTTTCTCGGCTAGGGGAGTGAGTGGGAAACCCTCTCTCTAGGAATAGAGACAGAAGGAACGCTTAGCATGCCTCTCTCTCTGACGGAGGCTTTGGGAGGAGGCCAAGCCCGGGGCTGGAATCCTTTGTTCTCGCCAGGGCCCAGGTCAGGGGGCAAAAGAATGCCCTTGAGCTCCTCCCGCATCAACTGGTAGGTACCCAGGTACCAGGTGCCCAGAGGCGCTGCCATCACAATGATTTCCGGATGTTCAGAACAGTGCCCTGTACACACAGTCACCGGCATCTGACTTCCCCTTCCCTTACAGTTGTGCATTTTGAGCAAAAGGCCTCCGTAGCCTGGGCTTGCCCCAAAGCGCCAGGAACCAGGCGTTCCTTCAGCGGGAAGGGAGGCGGGTGGCAAGGGTGCGGGATAGTCGCGGGTTAGGTTACTGATGTTAGTTTCCATAAGACCCTTGGAGGACTGGGCCGGGAATGGAATAATCTATGTAGTCCTAAGGGGGCACAACCCTTATCCACCGAGAACACTGCCAGCGAACCAGAAGCAAACGCGACCCGGTTTCACCCCTGAATCTCCGGCTCCCGCCGCCTCCTCCATCAGCCCAAGCTCATCCACGTCCTCGGGCGAGACCCGTGCGCCCGTGCGCTCCTGCAGGGACCTCTCTTCGCCCGGCTTTCTGGCCTCAGGGCCTCCCCACCTCCCCGGCCGCAGCGCGTGCGGGCTTTCCGGCGGGAAGGCGGGTCCCGGGCGGCTCAGGCGCTGATCCCCACCGGGGCGGCCTCCTCCGGCTCGCGGATCAAGCGCGCGCCCGCAGTCCGCAGGATGCTCGAGCGACCAGGCGAGCCGGGGGCCCGGGATGGAGACGTGTGCGTCCGACCGGGAGCGGGGGAGGGCGCGGGCGAGCGCGGGTACCGGCGGGCAGAGCGCACGGGCAGCCCGGGCGAGCGGCCAGAAATAGCCGGCGACACCGAGTAGCCGGGCGGGCCGGGCGGGCCGGGCTCCGTTGCGCGGGGCTCCGGAGCAGGCTCCTCCTCGGGCTCCTGGGCGTCCTGCAAGGACACGCGCCAGGGTCAGCGGACAGCGGCCCGGTTTAGGGGCGCGACTGGTGTTCAAGGGGCACTGGGCAAACCTAAGTGAAGGAGGTAGTTCCCTCCACACTCCCACCCCTGGGAAGATGGCAGACGGAGGTCTGGTTCCCCGCCCCTCTAACCCTCCCCTCCAGCCCCAATTAGTACGGTGCCTGGCAGATAATAGGTGCTCAGTAAACAGTGAAATGCATTAACTTGAGTGCTTTGTTCCTTATTGTCCTCTTTCCACCTGTCTAGGATAGCCCGGGGCAGCGTTAGTGGAACAGAGGGGAAATGCCCCGAGCTGATTGATGTTCAAAGACCTGAACTAAAGGCCTAGACCAGTGGTTGGCAAACTCATTAGTCAACAGAGCCAAATATCAACAGTACAAAGATTGGAATTTCTTTGGAGAGCCAAATTTTTTAAACTTCAACTATATAGGTAGGTACATTGTTATTAACTTCATTAGGGTCCTCTTAAGCTGGCCTTTGCTAAAAAAAACGTCCTCAATCTGATTTAGGTACGTCCGCTGAGGTCGACCCCTTCCAACTCTCCCATCCACACTCGTCTTGTGTACTTGTTTCGTCTATCTCCTTTCGTTCATCCTCTCTGTATGTCCAAACCATCTCAATATACCTTTCTCCATCCTCGACACTACATCTTCTTTCACTCCACAATGTTCCCTAAAATTAACTTAATAAACTTTAAAGTTTTAAGTCAACTTCGCACTGTACACGCGCGCCCGCACGTGGTATTCTGTGGAAGAGCCACACTCAAGGGGCCAAAGAGCTGCATGTGGCTCGGGAGCCGTGGTTTGCTGACCACAGGCCTAGACCTGCTCCTTATTTTCTTGGTTGATCCTGGGCAAGTCCCGTCACATTCATCGGCCTTATTTTCCTAACCTGTAAAATGGGGACGACACACCCATTTCTCAGGTCATTCTGTGTACTAGAAAGGGATATACACATCTAGCACCAGGACGTGGTAGAGGCTCATTGGTGTTTGTGAGGCACCCGGTCCACAGCTGCTCACCTTGTCCTTCAGAACATAGAGCGCCATGGGGTTCTTCCGCTCCTGCTCTCCACTTCGGGGGAGGGTGTCTGCTGCACAGGGCAAAGAATGGGGTGGCTGGCCCCGATCCAGAACCCTCCCCACCAGCCAGCACCTACGTTCTGCTCCCCAAGTGGCCAGTCAAGGTCCCGCCACAACCTCCACCAAAGGATCAGCCACACGCGGGGTCCTACCTTGGCCGCACCTCTCCCTGCTCTGCAGTCTTCGGGCAGTTGGTGGAGGAAGGGGCCCTGCAGAGCCGGCTTCCTTGAGGCCCAGTTCTGCCTTTTCCCAGAAGCCCACTGATCTGAGTGAGGATGGGTTGGGCGAGTGGGCCGCTGGGAGCTCACCTTCTGGCTTCAGGCTGTCATCGTTCTGATCCATATATTCCAGGGAGTTTTGTTTTTCCAGTTTCTTCTTCTTTCTGCAAATCAACCCAGCACTCCATGAGCTTAATTGCTGAGTGTGAGCAGGAGGAGGTCCGGGGGTGGGGACAAGGGCGAGTGGATGGCTGTAAAAAGGGCCTGATAACAGGAGGATGGGCTGGAAGGAGTCAAATCTAAGTTTGCCGCTGGCATTGTGACTGTGGACAATTTGAGCCTCCGTGTCTTTATCTGTAAACTGCAGGTAATGATACTTAAAGGGTAGGGCGCTAACCACAACCACAGTGCCTAGCCCGGGAAAGGTGCCCTGCGAGTGAAACCATTATTAACAGTGTGGGTCACTGGGGGGGGGGGGGGGGGGTTGTGAGTGCAGGAGGTGGTTCCATATACTGTACACACAGTGGTGAGATGGATCTCCTGGGAAGAAGTGCAGGGCCCTGGGAGGAAAGGCATTTAAAGAGACTTAGAAAAGAGCTTGGGTGTGGATTGCAGGGTTAGGATGCTCAGGGTGAGGAACTTGAGGGGTTACCTAGACTTTTTGGAGGGTTTCCAGCAGGCACACACGGTCACCAAGGTCACAAGGAGGAAGATGCCTCCGGTGGACAAGATGATGTAGAGGGAGCTTCTTTCTAGGGAGAGAGAAAGGCAGAGAAGTGAGAGAGACTCCGGGTGTGGTGCGGAGAGCTTCCTGCAGCGGGTGGAAGAGAAAGGAGCCCCGGGCAGCATGGCTGGCTCCTGGCAGAGCTTGCCCAGGGCCCACTTCCCACCTGTTGCTGTTCTCCATGGAGAGCCGGCCCATCTCTGCCTCTCTCTCCCTCTGTCGGGGATGTCGGTAGCCCCTCATGGGTTTTGAGCCCTGAAGGGAGGGCAGGCAGGGAGACTCACTGTACACGGTGATTTTGATGGGCAGGCTGCGGCCCTGGCTGATGGGGTTCTCCACCACACAGCTGTACAGGTCGTCGTCCTCCATGAGCACGCGCGTGATGGTGAGCACCTTCTGGTCGGAGGACAGGAGCATTCGCGAGTCATTGAGGAGGGGCTTGCCGTCCTTCAGCCAGGTGTAGCTGGGCTTGGTGCCGTTCTCATGGGAGCAGTTCAGGGTGAAGGCCTCACTGAGCTCCAGCACAGTGGTCGAAGCCACTAACACCTGTGGCCTCGAAATGGGCACTGAGCCCGGGGAGGGGACGCGGTGAGCCGGGGGCCAAAAGCTCCTCCCACCTTCCTAACTTTCTACCTTCAACACAACACAACTCAGTGTGTGATCAGAGAGGCCCTTCAGAGATCATTAGTCAAGTTCTTGACCACCATCCATCCATTCATCCATTCATTCACTCACTCATTTATTAATGGACTTATTTTTAATTTCTCTTTATTGTTGAAAGTATTATAGGTGTCCCCATTCACTCATTTCTGTATCAGCTATTTATTGAGTACCTACTAAGCACAGGAGGTACAATACTGAACAAGGCAGCCATGGTCCCCACCCTCATGGACCTTCCCTCCCCTTTTCCCCAAATACCTTCCTAAGATGTCTTAAACTGACCCAGTGTGGCACAACTAAGACTAAGTCCAGCTGCCTGGGTTCAAATATTGGCTCAATCACTTACTAGCTGCAAGACTTAGGCAAGTTACTCAACCTTTTTGTGCCTAAGTTTCCCCCTTTTGTGCCACCTTTTGCAAATGGGGATAATGATATTTACTATCCCTAGATTATTGTGAGCATTAAGAGTCAATATATGCAAAGCACTTAAAATAGTTTCTGGAATAGAGTAAGCACTCTTTACCTGTTTACTGTAGCCTGTCTGCTAACTGCTAATGTCCAACTGGCTTCCTCTCAACTCCCAAGTGGTTTTTGTGTTGGTGTTCCAGGGCCTAACAGACCCTGCCCCAGTCTCAGGCCCAGCCCACCTCCTTCCCTGCCAGAGTGCTTTACCATCCACGGTGAGGTTGATGGTCTTCTCCCCGGTGAAGGTGTCATCCGTGATGGAGATCTCCACCTCATAGGTGCCCTCATCGGTGAGCTGCAGGTCGCTGAGGAGCAGGGAGCCATTTTCAAAGAGGCGGATGCGGTCTCGATAGTCAGCGCGCAGGTTGCCAATGACCTCTGTGCCAATGGACTGCACCACGGTCACGGGCTTATCCCGCTTCAGCTGCCACTTCACCACGGGCTTGTCGCTGCTGGTGCTGCTGTACTGCACGGAGAGCAGTGCGGACTTCCCCACCGTGCCATGGATCAGGCGGACCTGGCTGGTGATGTTCACCCCCTGCAGGGGCCCTATGAACAGAGGCCCATGCGGAGAGGGCGGCATCAGCCCCTTGGGCTCCCACCTTTAATTCCTCTGATGTCTTCAAGTCTCTCCATTCATTCTGCGCCCTTCACAGGTGTCCTTCCTTCTTACTCTCTGGTGCCTTCTCTTCTCCCCCTGTAGCTCTGGGCCCCTCTGCTCCTTCATCATCCCTCACACCCATCCCATGGCCCTTCGCTCTTCTTCCATCTGGCCCTCTGCCTCTGGTAGTTTTCCTCTGGAAGAGTCCAGCTCCCCCACACCATTTATAGAAATATTTATTGAGCACTTACCATGTGCCAGGCACTGTTCTGTATCCTTGGGATATGTCATTGAGCAAAACAGACAAACATCTTTTATCCTCTGTAGCTTATAAGTCATTAGATCTTAGGGTGAATTTGTCAGGTTTTCTTGATTGGAAATTGGGAGAGTGAGGTGGGGTTGGGTGATGGAGAAAGCATGGGGACACAGATTCACAAAGAAAGGAGTATGTCACATGATGGTGCACTAAAGGGGAAGTTTAGGGGTCTGAAGACAACTGGGCCACCTTCCAGTTAAACCAAGAGCCTCTCCTATCCTTGCCCCAGCTGCACGTAGCATCTTACAGTGCAAAACAGCCCTGCAACGGGGTAGATGATTTTGGAAATTCACCCAAACTCCAGCCCAATTTGTATTCCCTTTAGAAGAGGGATTTAGGATGAGTAAAACAAAAAGTTTGGGATCAGAAGGGCTTGTGCCCTAGCCAGTTTGGCTCAGTGGATAGAGCGTCGGCCTGCGGACTGAAAGGTCCCAGGTTTGATTCTAGTCAAGGGCATGTACCTTGGTTGTGGGCAACATCCCCAGTGGGGGCTGTGCAGGAGGCAGCTGATTGATGTTTCTCTCTCTCTCTCTCATCAATGTTTCGAATTCTCTATCCCTCTCCCTTCCTCTCTGTAAAAAAGTCAATAAAATATATTTAAAAACAAAAAACAAAACAAAAAAACCCCAGAAGGCCTTGTAAGATCGGGCTCCACCTGCTCTTTCTGCCAATTAAACCTGGTTCCTCAGGATGAAAACACTGAGAAGCTATAGTATATGGATTGCCCTAGGCCCGTGGTCGGCAAACTGCGGCTCGCGAGCCACATGTGGCTCTTTGGCCCCTTGAGTGTGGCTCTTCTTAAGCCTTAGGAGTACCCTAATTAAGTTAATAACAATGTACCTACCTATATAGTGTAAGTTTAAAAAATTTGGCTCTCAAAATAAATTTCAATTGTTGTACTGTTGATATTTGGCTCTGTTGACTAATGAGTTTGCCGTCCACTGCCCCAGGCATTACTCTCCTCTAGGTGGGAGTCTTCCTCCCGCCATGTCTTACAGGGGTATGTATGGGTGTTCAGAAGTGAATGGAACAGTCTTTCTCAGAAGCTGACAAAGAGAGCATTTTGCCAAGGAAACACTGTTTCCCAAAATTCTTGCCAAAACTGGACTCTGTATTACGCTCAGGGTTCCACAACTTTCAAGGGACACAGAGAACTGGGACAGGAGCCAAAGCAGGACACAGAAATGAGGAAGTGGCTAACAATTGTGATCCACAGTAGAAATAAAAGGGACTAGGACTATTCAGCCTTGAGAAGTGATTAACTTAATTACTGTCCTCTAGTCTCTGAGGCATCGTTATGTAGGAAGTGTCTGTTCCCACCCAAGGCTGAACAAAAGGAAATTGACTGATCAACTTAAACAGTGCCGCACTGGGTCAGGTAGGCGGCCTTCATCAAATAGGATTTTGACCTCCTGTAACACCAAGCAATGTCAAGCTGTAAAGTGCAAGAATGTATCTGCCAATAGCCTCAGATTCCCTTAATAGCCTCTTCCTTTAAAGACACCACTATCTACTCATTTTTATGTGCTAATTTTGCTTGGCAAAAGTTTCCCATTACCATGTGAAGGGGATTTTAGGGCTAAAAGGATGGAATCCAGGCAAGGGACTTCTTCTTCTTGGGTCCTTAGAGGATGGAATAGTTATGAGATCCCAAAGAGTAAAATCTTGCAAATCAGATTATCTAGATTTGTGGCATGCTGTGTGTATGTCTGTAAAATACTGTCCGGGCCTCTAGGAAAGCCTTAGGTGCATGTTCCATGAGTTGGGCTGTGACGAATTTAGGAAAATTTTATTAATCCATATTAGGGACAGAGCATTAAATATTGAGTGTTACTTATCTGAGCCTGGCTTGGTGGTTGCTGCCATAAGCACAAGGGATTAAGGTAAATCTTTGGGAGCTTGGGTGACATGGCCCAAGCTCCCCTTTTAGTGGCAATCTTAAAAACTATATTTTCCAGCCTCCCTTGATGTTAGGTTTGGCCAGGTGACTGTGTTCTAGCTGATGAACTAGTGAAAGTGATAGGTACCCTCCATACCAGTGATGGCGAACCTTTTTTTTTTTTTTTAATATAGTTTATTGATTTTTTACAGAGAGGAAGGGAGAGGGATAAAGAGTTAGAAACATTGATCAGCTGCCTCTTGCACACTCCCCACTGGGGATGTGCCGGCAACCAAGATACATGCCCTTGACCGGAATCGAACCCGGGACCCTTCAATCTGCAGTCCGATGCTCTATCCACCGAGCCAAACCGGTTAGGGCAATGGCGAACCTTTTGAGCTCGGCGTGTCAGCATTTTGAAAAACCCTAACTTAACTCTGGTGCCGTGTCACATATAGAAATTTTTTGATATTTGCAACCATAGTAAAACAAAAATGTATATTTTTGATATTTATTTTATATATTTAAATGCCACTTAACAAAGAAAAATCAACCAAAAAAATGAGTTTGCGTGTCATCTCTGACATGCGTGTCATAGGTTCGCCATCACTGCTCTATACCCTGGTTTAGGACTCCCCCACGCCCATTTAAATTTTTTTCTACCTAGAAGAAATGGAGATAAACCTCAGGGTGACCATTGGAAACACATGTCAAAATTGACAGAACTCCATCATCTTTGTCCCTGAAAAACTTCATGGAGCAGAGTCCTTCCTCATCCCAGGCCTAGCTGGAAACTTCATCATACCTCTATATGGTTAACACCAATAACTTCAATTTTGGAATTTATTTGTCAAAGAAGTTGGCATTTTCCTAATTAATATATTGAAGATGGCAGAAATTTCCTTTTTTTTTCTTTTTTTAATTTTTTTTAAAAAATATATTTTATTGATTTTTTACAGAGAGGAAGGGAGAGAGATAGAGAGTTAGAAACATCGATGAGAGAGAAACATCGATCAGCTGCCTCCTGCACATCTCCTACTGGGGATATGCCCGCAACCCAGGTACATGCCCTTGACCGGAATCGAACCCGGGACCCTTCAGTCTGCAGGCCGACACTCCATCCACTGAGCCAAACCGGTTTTGGCAGAAATTTCTTATAGAATGTCAGCTCTTTCTTGCTCTCAGATCACAGCAGTACAATGGCTTGACCCTGCACTGATTTCTTACCTGTCATAGGTCATAACTAATATCTTATTAGCATAGTTTATATTTAGAATTTTTTGTTATATTTATTATTTCTCCCACACTTTAGACCCTTTGCCACCTTTTGTTTTTGCCCAGTCACATTGACTAACAATATATTTCTGTAATTTTTTTTCCTTATCATATGATGGCCTGAAGGAGTTAGGGACATCTCTGACTTGTATATTTCATATGCACTTTGTATTCCCAATTCCCCAAATCTCATTTCCTCAAGTCATTGTCATTTCCACTGAGACTCTGCTCAGTAAGGCCAACAGTAACCTCTTAAATGCCATATCTAACGGACTCTTTTAGGTACTTCTTGTACTGGACCTCTTCGATACATTTGATGTTGGTTCTCTAGAAAACTCTCAACTCCCTTGACTTTCTGCACACACAGTCTTCTAGTCCTCCCTCTGTCCCTGTGACTGTTCCTTCTTGGTCTCCCCAGTGGGATTTTTTCCTCTACAAATCTTGGGGTTACTCAATGTTCCATTTTCAGCCTATTTTCTCATCCTAAGTGCTATTATCCATTCTTTGTTTTAAATCTTACCTATGGGCTGACAGCTTCCAAATACCTCCCGTCAGCCCTGGCCTCCCTGCTCCCCAGGTTTAGGCTATTCAACATTTTCCCACAGATGTGTCATAGGTATTTCAACCTTAACATGGACAACAGTAATGATCATATCCCCACAATTTTTGTTTAAGGTTATACACAGAACCCATACCTCCCTTTCTGGACCCTCCCACTTCTTATCAATCACTAAGTCTTGACTTTCCCTCCAAAATATTATCTCAACATTCCTCATTCCCTCTGTCTTTATTCTAATTCCAGCCCATGCTATTTCTCTCATGAACTACTGCAGTAGGCTTTTATGGGTTGAGTTGTGTCCCCTAAAATTCATATGTTGAAGTCCTAATCCCAGTACCTCAGAATGTGACCTTCTTGGGCAATGGGGTCATTGTGGAGGTAATAAGCTAAGATGAAAATGGACCTCTAATCCAATATGACTCTCGTCCTTATAAAAAAGGGGAAATTTGGACACACACACACACACACACACACACACACAGGGAGAATATCATGTAAATACTGAAGTTATGCTGCCATAAGCCAAGGAATTACTAGAAGCAGAGAGGCCTAGAACAGATCCTTTTCTATCTCCATCAGCTGAGTTTTGCCGACACGTTGATCTCAAACTATTAGCCTCCAAAACTGTGAGACAATAAATTTCTGTTTTCTAGGCCACCCAGTTTGTGGTTCTTTGCTATAGCAGCCCTAGGAAATGCATACAGGTGCCTTTCCATCTTGTTTGCCTCCAGTTCCCCTCCAATGCCTCACTACAGAGTGAGCTATCCCAACACACGTCTGGCCCTCCCAGCCCCCAGATTAGAACCTTTCAATGCTCTCTCCACTCCACTGTTTACAGACTATTCTGCTTTACTTAGTGTACTTCACCAGGCTCTTGCCTAACTTATTCACACTTTCCTCTCCAGCAGTGGAGAACAGCTGGGCTGCTCCTAAACACAGGATGCCATTTCAAGCTGTCGACCTTTGCCCATTTCCCCAACTCTAATGCCCACACCCACACCTACCTATTTTATCTGATCCTTTAAAAATTTAGTGCAGACATTCCCAGGTGACCTCCCCTGATATTCCCCCAACCCCACCCTGCACCACCAGCACCCGTTTCCTGGTGGGGTAGGTGACTTCTCTCTGCTCCCAGGCATCCTCTGCATATCTGACTCAAAATAGTTTCTGTGTTTTATTAAAACGATCTCTGCATCTGTTTGCCCAACTAAATTGTGAATTCCTAAGCTTTCTGGAACAGTGTGTGGGGACATAAACAAATATACTTAAAATAAGATCAATTCTCCAAATAGTTGGTAGGGGGTGAAATAGGAGACAGGTGTCCACGGTGTACGGTGAGTTATGGGTAGTTTGGTGTTACTCTCCAAAATCAGGACGCTCGTTATCGCCAAATATTCTTTCTATCTCTTGCTGTTTTACATTCAGAGAAGTGGGGGCAGGAAGTTAGGGAAGCACAAAACCAAGATTCCCCCACCCCTCTAAGCCTCACCATAATCCTTGCAAAGAATGCTGAACTGGCCCGTACCAACAAGTCATCCTATAAAAATGGCTCATTGCCCTTCGTCTAATGTCCTGAATGCCGTGGGAGCTCCGAAGTCATGCAGCCTTTTGGGGGAGGGGGCAGGGACCGTGCAGAATGAAGAAATACATTCAACACTAATGCCTGAATTCACTGAGATGCTTCCCACACAGCTGAGCTCTCTCCCCTCCTCCCACCCTAAAGGCATTCTGGCCCTCCACTCTCCCCTCCTTCAGTTTTGAAAGCCCCAGTCCCTTCTCCAAACCCTTTCTTACCCTTCTGGTCTCCTACCTGTCTGGATCAGAAGAAGGTAGACAAAAGGAGTGAGGCGCAGGGCACTGAAGACTCTGGACAGGGATCCCCTTTCTCTCTTCATTTTGGGTGGCGTTCTCCAGCTTCGGTGCAGACAATTAGCATGATTTCTTCACTCTGGGCACGTCCCTTTGTACCACTCGGAGTTTCTCTGCCCGAGCACAATCCTGCCAACTTCTCTCTGAATACACAGAGCTCTGTGTGTTGCTAGACTTGTTCTTTCTTCTCTTTCAGACCTGGCATTTTCTAGTTTCAAAGCCCTACATCCCCAGTTTAGAAGGGGGTATTTGCTTAGGAGATAATCTTCAGAGGGGGTGCCAATCAAATGGGTCCCGGGGGCCCATCAATTCTTCCCTGTCTGTGCTGAGAACCACTATGAGGGGGAGATGAGGATTTGGGCTCAATAGGGACTGAACTGGAACACACCCTAAATTGGACTTGTGCCCCAATCCATCCTGTCTCCACCTCATGCTCCTTGTTCCTGAGAAGGCAGGTGTATGCCAGGGGTAGACCTCCAATTTTGAAGAGGGAGGGATAGAAGCTTTTCAAAGGCTGGGGAATGAGAGACTCTGGAGAACTGCTGAAGAAATGGAAACCCCTGTTCCATCCCAAAGGAAGGAGATTGGAACACGGCCTGAATTCAATTATTTTCATACCTGTCGGGTCCTACTTGGGGTTCTCTGTCCTATCATAGAATCATGTAGATACTGGGGCCTCTTTCCAGAAGCCACTCTGTTTATTCCTCTGCCTTTAGCTAATTTTCTCCAACATGTCAGAGCGAGGGCAAAGGTGACACCCTAACAGCCAGCATCCTGGGGTTCTGTCACCAGCTTCTCAGCCTGGTGGCCTTTTCTTGTCTCCAGGCTTTGAGGAGGAGCGTCCCTCTAGCTCCCCTGCCCCCTCATCGCTATGTCTACCATTCTTATGAAGGCTGTCAGTAGAATGTAGGCTCACTAACTGTGCAATCTTGAAACCTGGCTCACAACTTTGTTAACCCTCAATTTCACATCTGTGAAATGGGGAAACAGTAGCTCCCTTGTAGGAATTGTTAGGAGGATTGATGAAGACATGGTACAGTAGAATGCCTAGGAAATTCTTTGTTACAAAGATATTTTAAACTTTAAAAAAATAACTCCTGCTCTGCTTTCTCCTCCTTTCTTCTTCTTCTTCTTCTTCTTCTTCTTCTTCTTCTTCTTCTTCTTCTTCTTCTTCTTCTTCTTCTTCTCTCCTCCTCCTCTTCCTCCTCCTCCTCCTCCTCCTCCTCCTCCTTCTTCTTCTTCGTCTCCTTCTTCTTCTCTTTCATTCCTGTAAGGAATCTTTATATCATGATGAGACCAAAGTTTACAGCTCCCCTCTTGGTAATCTTTAACCCTGGTCTTAGGTTTGCAATAGTTGCCTCTCAAAATATTCTTTTTACATCCTGGAGAAAGCCTGAGTCCACCAAGTTTCTAGAGCAAAAAACCCATTGTGTAGTCCAGTGAGTCAAAGGATGGGGAGGAGAGTTGGGAAGCATTGGCTTTGAACTTCACAAAGGAACTCCAAAAATCATTCTGATTTATATAAATAAGATTTTTTCCGTCTGTATTTTTGTGTCTTTAACTTTTCCCTAGACAGCTCAAGGCACCTGTCTGTCTCTGAAAGAGTTGTTGTTGTTTCAGCAGGTATGAAATGGAAAAGAGAAAGTCAACATTCAGCTTCTGACATAGTCTTTTAGAGTCAGTAGCAAGGCGAAAGGCTTGAAAGCCAAACTCTGTAAGGGACAAAAGGATATTTTAATTCCTTTTATCTACTCCCTTGAAATATCATAGAACAACAGCCTGTGGACTGGATAACAGAGTTCTTCTACAGGACTATAGACAAATGGCCTCTTTTGTCTGTGAAGGCGAGGCCTTAAGGCTTATTGTCTGAGGGTACAAAGAGTATATGATGTTCAGGAATAGTCTGAGGTCTGCCTTTTTTAGCCTGAAGACTGTGAAAAGAAAAATGTGACAGAGGAGCCCAGCTGGTGTTGCTCAGTGGTTGAGCGTTCGACCTATGAACCAGGAGGTCACGGTTCGATTCCCCGTCAGGGCACAAGCTGGGGTTGCAGGATCGATTCCCAGTGGGGTGCATGCAGGAGGTAGCCAATTGATGATTCTCTCTCATCACTGATGTTTCTATCTATCTCCCTCTCTGAAATTATATATATATATTTTAAATGTGACAGAGGAAGACTGAAGAGGGATTTAAAGTCTCAACATCCCCCCTTTCCCTGCCCTAGAAATGAACTTTCGGCTTATACCCACGCAGAATATGTAAATGCTTCAAAGTGCCCACAAGCTCTCTTGAGAAGACCTGGAGATACTGAGAGGGTAAAGAACCTACAGAGGGCTGACTTGGAGCAAAGGGTCACACTATGCAGGCAATGACTGGGGCCACCAGCTGACCTGGTGGGAGTCATACATATAGCTCATCCGAGACCAGTGGGAATCCTGAGTCCACATAAGTCCATGCACATTGTCTCCTTCCGTTGCTATAAGGTCACCGAAGCCGCATCACTTAGACTACCCCCAACCTTCTTAGACAGGACCTGGGTTGGGGAGGAAGTGAATCACTGATTAAGCAATTAGCTTCTTTTTTTTTTTAAACATATTTTTTATTGATTTTTTACAGAGAGGAAGGGAGAAGGATAGAGAGTTAGAAACATCGATGAGAGAGAAACATCGATCAGCTGCCTCCAGCACGCCCCCTACTGGGGATATGCCCGCAACCCAGGTACAAGCCCTTGACCGGAATCGAACCCGGGACCCCTCAGTCCGCAAGCCGACGCTCTATCCACTGAGCCAAACCGGTTTCGGCGAGACTTAGCTTCTTTAAGAGAATGTTAAAGTGGTTGGTCAAACTGAGCTTCTCAGGATGGATTAACATTTAGTTTCCTTTGCTGCCCTGGGGGTGGGAAGCTCATGGGAAGATAAGAGCAGCTGCAAAGGCACAAAGGTACTACAGTTCCTTTGCACGTCTGAGTGTAGAAGGAGCCATTCTGCAGCCCTCTTTCAGGTCTTTTTAAGATGAGTAGACCTATGGAAGTTCATATCATCTGCTTATGTACTTTCTCTGCTAGTGAGTAGAGAGCTCTTCGATTGAAAGATCGTGTCTACTGGTCTCTGTAGCCCTACTGCCTCATACAGGGCAGGAAACACAGTAGGTGCTGAATATTGTAAATAGAGTTACTGAATATTGAATGGACGAGAAATCGAGGCAGTTTCTCAAGAATAAAGAACATGGATAGATGTCCTTTACAGATATAAATGGAGAGAATAAAGAACAACTGTGAGAGGGAACTGGGATAGAGGAGTGAGAGCAGGGAGGGCACCAACTAATGACTGCCGAGGACAGACCACTTTGTGAAGACACGAGACACCCCTTTGTGAATTCCCAGAAGTAACGAATTCGCTTTGAGGGGGCCATTGATCCAATAGGCTGTAGGCAATTGGGTTACAGAGACATAAGTCAACAGTCAAGCCAAGTTGTTCTCACACATAACATTGACCTCAGCTGTCCTTGCTTATCTTGTTTTATCTTTCCATGTGTTCTGTGTGTTTTCTTTCCCTGGATGTCTGTCCCATATAATTGTTGACAATGTGGGCTGTGTGCTGTTGTTTATTTACATCCTGATTATAAGCATTACATATCTTAACTTCAAAAGTATATTTATACTTGTCAGTCTGCCTGTCCGATTTTTGAATCAGAAAATGTGGTTACTGCAGCCATCTCCTCATTATCCTGGGAAACTCTCTGGGGCAGAAACTGTAACTCTCCACTCTTACAGGTCTCCTCGCAGGGCCTGGTTTTGAATTCTGTATAATGTGGCTGCTAAAACAATGGTGTGGACAGATGCTTGACTGACAGCGGTAATGGCCTAGCTTAGCCAAGGCCATGCCCCTTCCTCCTCTGAGCATTTCAACAGATGCATTTTCAAGGGCATTGTCCTCTTCTGAGCAGCACAGGCCGGTCAGTCCTCCTGGCCCTTCTGCTGCACAGAGTTGCACATTCCTATTTGGCACCTTCTCTGGGACTCTGGGATCCTGACTCCTCATCCCTGCACCCATGGCAGCCCTGGCCTGCTGAACTCAGACCTCTGTGGTGAGCACTCAGATGTGTTCCTGAAGCTCAGAATGGAGCCCCAACACACACACACACACACACACACACACAAACACACACACACACACGATATGTAAATAATGACCAATTTTATTTTATTTTCCATTTATCCCCCTATACCCTCTTCTACATCCACCCACTCCCCCCCCCCCCCCCACACACACAATCACCACACTGTTGTCTGTGTACATGAGTTTCCTTTTTTTTTTCTTTTTTGGTCAATACTTTCACCTCCCCTAAGAGTTGTCTGCCTGCTCTCTATGTATGAATCTGTTTCTATTTTGCTTGTTAGTTCAGTTTGTTCATTAGATTCCACATATGAGTGAAATGATATGGTACTTGTCTTTGTCTTATTTCACTTAGCATAATATTCTCCGGGTCCATCCAGGTTGTCACAAAGGGTAAAATTTTCTTCCTTTTTATGACTGAGTAGTATTCAATTGTGTAAATGTACTACAGCTGTTTTATCCACTCATCTACTGATGGACAATTAGGCTGCTTCCAAATCTTGACTATTGTAAATAATGCTGCAATGAACACAGGGATGCATATATATTTTTTTCGAATTAGTGGTTCAGGTTTAATCAGATAAATTCTCAGAAGTGAAAGTGCTGGGTCATAGGCAGTTCCGTTTTTAATTTTTTGAAGTATCTTTGTACTGCGTTCCCCAGTGGCTGCACCCATCTGCATTCCCACCGACAGTGCACAAGGGTTCCCTTTCCTCCACACCCTCTACCGTTAGATTTCAGGATGTCCCCACCCACTTGGCCTATTCCTTTGTTCCCAGGCTCCAGGAAGAATGTTCTGGCACTGACATTACTAGAGAGGTTTTGGCCTTACTAATGGCGTAACATCAGTGGTGATTTTTATATTTAGCATCCCCCCCCCACCTTTTCTTCATTCACTTCCTGCTATTGAGTCATATCTGTGCCTCCTCCACTAAATTGTAAATAATTTTTCATAGCAGAATGGAAAAAATCTTCCAAAAATGACACCCAAATCCCTCTTACAGAGGGAACTGTCTTTAACAAGAAAAATATTTAGGTATGCCATATGGAGTGGAAGGTAAAACCTTAAGCACAAGTAGTCAAGGAACAAAAAGATAAACCACTGTGCATTAGAAATAAACAGGACTTTGGTGATGGGGAAAGATTAGGGGTGAGAAATGAAGAAGGGGAGAGGGAATGGGAGAGCAACTTGGTGGGGAGCTGAGGAAAACGTGAACAGCTTGCATTGCTACACTAAAAACCCTTCCTCTTCCGACTTCTGAAGAGTTTACTACACACAAATCAATATGTGCGCTTGTTTCTAGCTGATTGAATATAGCTAAGGTGATAGGATAGGCACTCCCTTGATTAGGTGATATGATGTAAGACCCAGACTTAGCAGGAGAGAGAGAGAAAGGGAGGGAGAGAGAGAGAGAGAGAGAGAGAGAGAGAGAGAGAGAGAGAGAGAGAGAGAGAGAGAGATTGTTCAGCTAATAAAATAACTGCCATGGTATGAAAGGGCCACATGGCAAGCAATGGCTGGCAGCCTAGTTGCTGAGAGCAACCCTTAGCCAACAGCTGGCAAGATAATAGGGACCTCACTCCCACAATCACAAGAAAGTGAATTCTTCTAACAACCACGTGAGCTTGAAAGAGGATCCCAAGCTCCAGAGAGGAATGCCCACCAGCCAACACCTTCACTGAAGTCTTTTGAAACCTTGAGCAGAAGATCCACTGAGCTGTGCCTGTACTCCTGACCCACAGGAACTGTAAGGTAATAAATGCATGTCTGTTCAAGATGCTTAATTTGTGGTAATTTGTTATACAACATAGAAAACTAATACAGGAGAGCCTGGCTGGTGTGGCTCAGTGGTTGAGCTTTGACCTATGAACCAGGAGGTCATGGTTTCATTACCATGGTTGTGGGCTTGGTCCCCAGTGTGGGGAGTGCAGGAGGCAGCCGATCAATGATTTTCCCTCATCATTGATATTTCTGTCTCTCTCTCTTCCTCTCTTAAATCAATAAAAACATATTTTAAAAAAAATACACGACATCCAGTTAAATCGGTATTAAAGATGAACAATAAATATAAAAGAAAAAACTAATACAGGAGATGAGAGAGAGAGAGAGAGAGAGAGAGAGAGAGAGAGAGAGAGAGAGAGAGAGATTATATACTGAGAAAGCATGAGTTGGGAGTCAAAGATTGTCCTGACCTAGGACTTTGGAAATTTGAATATTGGTACCTTAGTTTGGGTTCCTCCAGAGGCAGACCCTGAGATAAGAAGTTGGTTTATTCAAAAGGTGATCCTAGTAAAACCAGGTAGTATATTGGGGAAATGAGACATGGAAGGGCAGGAAACCAATAAAGGCTACATAGCAATCAAATGCCCATCACGGGCAGCAACAGCTTAATCCTTTCAGGGAATTCTGGGAGATAATGAAGACTATGCCTCAGAGTTATCCCATCCAAGGGGCCAGGGAATTGGGCTATTTAGTCACCATCAGATGTAGGCTGAGGGCAGCTTCGGAGGGGAGAGGGGAAGCTAATTCCTCGGACTGCTGGCTGATTCTCACATGGAGGCATCTTGTCCACACCTTCCCTCCTCTAACTTCTGTGTGTGTGTGTGTGTGTGTGTGTGTGTGTGTGTGTGAGCTACTCCTCACTTTACTGTCAGGCACTTTATACCTATTTAATTCTCCCAATATTCCTTTTAGGTAGAGATTATATCTTCATTTTACAAACGGGAAAAGCTAAGATTTAAGAACTTAGTCACTTGCAAAGGTCATCTAGCAACTACGAGTCAGAACTTGGATTAGAGACCCTGTTTGAACTCCAACAGAGCTTAAATAGGTCAGAGTTGGACTACCTCCCTAATTCCTCAGTGGGACATTCCCTGTGTGTGTGTGTGTGTGTGTGTGTGTGTGTGTGTGTGTGTGTGTTTCAGGCTTGGTCTGACCTTTTACCCGTAGCCTTTGCTCTCTGACTAAGCTACATGATGGAAGGTGGCCTTTCTACTCCTTGTGCCCCTATTACTGCTGAAGTTATTTTTGATTCTTTGTTCCATAAGCCTATAGGTGAACGGTGTTAGAGCGGTCCCTACCATAACTGAGAGAGAGAGAGAGAGAGAGAGAGAGAGAGAGAGAGAGAGAGAGAGAGAGAATCCAGGAGGCCAAGCCAGCCAGAGAGTTTGTAGAGCTGTGGCATTGCCTGGGAAACAAGGAATGTGTGAGGCTTTGTACTGAGGAGGCAGAGCCTTGCTGTTCTAGTAGCCACCAAAAAAGACAGATTAGCTAACTCTCTTTGGAACTAAACAAGTTTTTTTGTGTGTGGCCCTGGAGGAATGGCCCTCGTGAGGGCATTTTTTTCTTTTCTTTTTCTTTTTTGAAGTTCTCCTAGGTAGCCCTGCTCTGGCTTGCTGTTGAGAAACATCAAATAGAAAGTGGAGATGGAGTCAAAGCCTTCCCATAGCCTCATCCTGAATGTTGGTTTTGCTGCCTGCAGATTTCTGTAACTGTGGGGGGTCACTCAGAGGAAGAGCATTCTGCAGAGAGATGATGTCTCAAAAGGTATGGGTTTGCTCGGAGAAGTATGTGATCAGGGTGCGGGGCGGCATGGGGTCCTGGGTGCGTTTCTGTAAGGCAGAGGAGGTGCTCCCGTTTCCATACTGGAAAACTGAAAAACATCACAGCCTTTTATGCTGAGAGTAAATATTTGATTTCTGAATAGAATGCCAGCCCCCTCGGAAACTGAGGGGAACTCGGGCTTGTGTCCATGGTTGCTGAACGTGCCCTATTCAGCAGCTCTCCAGTGGAACAAAGAGGAGAAATTAATTGGCTTTCAAGTGATGGAAAGATCCAGTTTGCTGACCTATTTAAGCTGTAGTGAGGGCATTCTAGAGAACATTTCTGGAGTCCTGTTCTTCTAAAGCTTCAGTGCTTAAATAAAAACAGATTGAAAAATCATGGGGAAGCCACAAATACCCCCAACTCATGAAAGGCTTCATTGTTTTCCTTCTCCTGGATCCTCAGATGGTGTCCTCTCACCAACCATGTCCGGGAAGGATTCTCTCCCATCCTCCATCTCTCGCCTCTTTTCAAAGAGGGAGGGGCCGAAGTGGAAATCAGCTAGTCTGCTGTGTGAAGAGCACTCCAAGTTCCAGAGATTAGTAATGTTGCTGGTGGAAATGGGGTCCTTCCACAAAGTACCAAGAAAAGCATTTCTAGGAACCGACACATGGGAGGGTGTAGTGGTAAGATTGGGGTACAAATAAAAGACTGCCGCTAGGTCCATCATGTCTTATCTCCATCCATCCCACGTGGAAGAAGTCCAGCCTTGTTTTCATCAAGCCCAGAAGAAGGGCCAGGGTCCAGAAATTTTGTGCCATTGGTTCAATCCATGCCAAAGCTTAGCCCAGTTCCGTCTCTGACCCCATCCAGCTGGCTTAGCCTCTGTTCCCAGCTGTGCTTCAGCCAATGATGCCTTGCTGTTTCCAGGTTCACGCTTGGGGCCCTCACTTGGGCCCTCATGAACACATGTTACAGAGAGAGGGAGAGAGAGAGAGAGAGAGAGAGAGAGAGAGAGAGAGAGAGAGAGAGAGAGAGAGAGAAGGCCTATGTTAAGCTTTGATTATATTATCCGGTCTTTCAAACTGACCAATCTCTTTCCCAATCCTTCAGGGGTTGTGCTGGATCCTCCTCCTAATCAATCCATTTCCTAGATTTTCTGGGGTTCTGTGTCCCTTATCCAATCTGATTCTTTCCCCAGGCTAGAGACCTCCCCTTTATGGTCACCATCTTGGCTTTTACTGCTGCAAGTCCTAATGTTCTGATGCTGTCATCTGGTTTCTACTGCACATGTGCCTACCTCCCCCTGCACCATCTTGGCTTCTATTGGGCATGTGCCCAAGATGAATGCACTCCTCCTCCCCCGAACCCTCCAATCCTGCTACAAGGCAGGATGAGATCAAGTCCCTTCTGCCAAGGATGTGTCAGTCCCCTGGGGAGCCTTTGAATGCTGTGGCTTCCTAGTGAACCAGGCTTACCTTCTGGTTCAACTCCCTAATTTATTAGGCTTATTGTCTGATTCTATTTGCCCCCTTCCTTTATTGATACTAACTAGCTACCTACACTAACACTAAGAGGAGTGGGAGGAAGGTAGGGTGGAAGGAGGCTCATTCAAAAGTAGAAGAAGACAATCAATCCCTGTCTAGGGGCTTAAATATAGTTGGAAAAGCAGCGTCTAATTCTATAAGTAAGTATAATTGGTAATACATTTGCATTGCCCCTTACAAACCGTCTTTTCAAATATTATTTACTCTTCTAACAACTCTGTGTTTAGGATTTTTTTTTCAAGGAGAAACATGGAGGTTAAGTCTGCATAGTTCCAACTCAGCCTGTGCTTCTTTGCCTAGTGTCCATACTATACTCCTGAAAGAAGTTGCATTCAGTCAGGCCCAGGAGGAAAAACCAGTATGAAAAAGGAAGGCTCTGAAATAAGATGTGAAGCAGAGGATAAGGTGGGCAAAAGGGACTGTAGAAAACAAAGCTTAGTTAGCAAGAGAAAAATTGGGTTCCCAGTAGTGAGTCCAGGGACACTAAGAAGATAGATCGTGATACAAGGATTCAACATAAGAAGAAACCCTGCCTCCACCTGATCACTAGATTCCCATTTCCTCTTCTCCACTTAAGGACGTAGATGCAAACATTATCCCATCTCTCTCCTCTATCATCAGTTTTCTCCTATTTATTGGGTAATTCCCATCAACAACAATCAAAGTGTGCTGCAATCTTTTAAAAAAAATATATATTTTATTGATTTCTTACAGAGAGGAAGGGAGAGGGACAGAGAGCCAGAAACATCAATGAGAGAGAAACATCGATTAGCTGCCTCCTGCACACCCCCCATTGGGGACGCGCCCGCAACCAAGGTACATGCCCTTGATCGGAATCGAACCCGGGACCCTTCAGTCCGCAGGCCGACGCTCTATCCACTGAGCCAAACCGATCAGGGCGAAAATATATTTATTTTTTTATTGATTTCTTACAGAGAGGAAGAGAGAGGGATAGAGAGTTAGAAACTTCGATCAGCTGCTTCCTGCACACCTCCTAGTGGGGATGTGCCCGCAACCAAGGTACATGCCCTTGACCGGAATCGAACCTGGGACCTTTCAGTCCGCAGGCCGACGCTCTATCCACTGAGCCAAACCGGTTAGGGCTCAGCAGTGTCTTCAGACCAGCGCGCGCGGCCGGGTACACCACACAGCGACCCCGCGCACCCACTCCCTTCCGCCGGGTTCCTGGCGCCTTCACAAGTCCCGCCCCCTCAGCGGAAGTGACGGACTAGGCCCGAACTCCGCCCTCACGCCTTATCCGCCCGCCCCCGGGTAGTCCGGAAGGGGCGGGTTCAGAGAGGCCGAGGGGCGGGGCGCCCCACCGGAAGTGGCGGTTGACTGGCGGGGGTTCGTTTAGCGTCCCGGGTAGCGTTTGAGTTTGGCGAGTTGCGGGCGCTAACTCAGCGGTAGCGGGACCCCAAGGCCTCAGAAAGTGGCTTCTCTCTGTCCTGGGACCCCCTCCTCATTCAGCGTCTTCCCCGTAACCGGATACGGATTATTTGGACTCTCCCTCAGACCCAGGTTCCCCCCCCCCCCCCCCCCCCAGCCCCCGTTCTATCCCGCTGCTGCGGTCGGTCCTCCCAGTCTCACCTCGCCGTGCCGCCCCTGGGTACAGTCCTCTGTCAGAACCTTCTATCCCCAGGCAATCTTGAACCCCCCCCCCCTTCTCCCCTCTTATTCCTTCCCACCGCTTTTCCGTTCTTTCCTCGCACTTTCTTCAGGAATCCCCGTTCTTGCTCTTGGTCCGGCGGCCGCCTTCTCCAAGGGGCCTGCGGCTCATGGGTTCGGAAGTTGAGCTTCTAACGCGGTCGTTTGAAGATGACAGGCTTGTCCTTTGTCCTAAGCAGGAGTCACAGATTTCAGCAAGTATGGCCCCCCGCAAGAAGCGTCGAAACACCCCAAAGTTGCCCCTGGCCTTAAACCCCCGGAAGAGCAAGGACGTGCTGGCAGTGCTGGCGGAGAGGAACCAGCCTGTGGTGCCAGTGGGGGCGTGGGTGGAACCTGCCTCGCCGCGCAGTTCGGGAAACACAGCGTATGTGAGTGTCAGTGTGAACCGAAATACTAAATCCTGGGGTTCCTCCCCCATCTTTCCCTTTTTTTCTTTTTGCCTCTCTGGTGCTTAAAGATAAATAGTCTGAGGATGCTATTTCTCTTCGGTCATAAATAATATATTCTTGCATTAGCATTATAGAACAATCACGGGTGTATTTGCCAAAACTCACATACGTATACATGTATGTATTTCAGTTTACTTCACAAACTCTTGAATGCTTGTTATGCACAAGCAATAGGCAACGGTCTATCTCTTCTACAGTGTAGTCAGGACCGCAGTTGGCCACATTTCATGCAACATTCATTATCGCTTGAAGTTTTTCTTAAAAATATATATTTTTTTATTATTCAGAGAGGAAGGAAGAGGGAGAGAGAGATAGAAACATCAGTGACAAGAGAGAATCATTGATTGGCTGCCTCCTGGGGAGCGAGTCCAGCAACCTGGGCAGGTGCCCTGGACGGGAATCGAACCTGGGGCCCTTTCGTCCACAGGTCGAGGCTCTATCCACTGAGCCAAACTGGCTAGGGCATCACTTACAGTTTTAGATAAGTTTGGTCGTGGAGATTCAGGCCGTAAGAGAATAGAGGAGGGGAAGATGAATTCTGACGGGGATTCTGAGGAAGTGTGTGCCTATCAATTCCATGAGGACAGAGGCCTTCCTGTGCTGTTCATTCCTGTCCTGGTTTATGGTAGGTCTTCGGGAAATACTTGTTGCATGAATGAATGAGGAAATACAGCTTGTGTTGGTCCTTAAAGAATGGATCCGCTGTAAGTACAGGATGGCAGGGAGGAAGGAGATGAAGGGAAACTTCTGCAAAGTTTACATGTGTGCCTGTTTACGTGGTTAGACTCATACTACTAAGTAACACATGAGGATAATTTTTTAAAATATATTTTTTACAGAGAGAAAGGGAGAGAGATAGTTAGAAACATCGATGAGAGAGAAGCATCGATCAGCTGCCTCCTGCACACTCTCTGCTGGGCATGTGCCCACAACCAAGGTACATGCCCTTGGCCGGAATCGAACCTGGGACCCTTGAGTCCGCAGGCCGACGCTCTATCCACTGAGCCAAGCCGGTTAGGGCATGAGGATAACTTTGTAAGAAGATTTTTATAGTCTTTCACCCAAACGGTTTCACTTCGCTATTTGTTCAGATTTTATTGTGACACTTAACACATTACATTCATCGTAAGTTGTTTACATATCTACTTTTCCTGATGGAGTGTGAGTTCTTGGATCACAGGGGGAAAAATCTTACTTATCACACATTTCCATCTTCATCTTAGTTCCTAACAAATATGGGCATTCTGTAAGAATTTATGGAATGCACACAGTGTGTGAAGGTCTTCCGAACGTATAGTATAGACAGGGTGCTGAGCATGAAGGTGAAAAGTATGAAGTACGTTTACTTAGTGGTCCTTAATATGAGAGGAGAAATGAGGGATGTTTAAAGTAAATGTTAAATAGTAATGCAGTGTTTATTTTATTTATGTTTTTAAGTATGTATGTATGTATATATTCATTTATTTCTACTCTGCTTATTTCCAGAAAGGATTTTAAGAGTTTGGGTAATGTATAATTAAGTGCTAAGACTATGGTATTTAAAGAAGAAAGATAAGTCTGTGAATACTGATCAGGGACTCAAGTGCGATAAAATGTTCCAAATTGTTTAGGATATGTATTGGAATTGAGCATTACACAGATATTAAGTATCTTTATATTCAGGTCTCTGTGTTATATACTATAGAAGAAATAAAGGAGAATTAAATACATTTCCTGCCCTCAAAGAGATCATAATCTAATGAAGGAATCAAGAAACACTGTACTCAGTTAACGTTAATCAGAGGTACTAAGCGTCACAGAGCTGAGAGAAGAAAGGATTGTAGGAGGTACTAGGAGGTGGGTATTAGATGGTCTGGAGATGGAGCAGCTCTTTACTAGATAGAGCGTACAGGAGGGCATGCGGGGTTAAAAATGGAGCATAATTCTGAGTATGAAGGCATTTTAGAAGAAGATATTTTGGTGAGTGATGAGCAATCTGGTGTGTCTGGACTGTTTCACTATTTTAGAAAATGTAGAACATAAGATGGATTTGAATTGATTCATTAAGAATTAATGAAGACACTGTTCTCAGTTCAGTGAAAAAATCAGATTGGATTTGAGTACTCCAAATAACAATTTTTAGTTTGTGATTTGCTTTGAAGTTCTCAGCACTCACTAGCTATGACTAGATTGTAACCTCTGAATTCCTGTGATTTCCTTACTCTACTGGGAATTTTGGATTATAGAACTGCGTTATTTTTTTCAGGATTGTTTCCTGACTTGTGTTAATAACAAAGCCCTATTGGGAAAAACGGTTGACATTAAAGTTCATTTTCTGTCTTTCATCTTTAAAGACTGCAGCATATGTAATTGAGAAAGAACTAAAGGAACAGTTAAGAAAAAAACAAGAAGCTTTGAAGCGTTTTCAGAGACAAGCCAAACACCGAGTAAATCAACGAATTAGGCTAAAAAAAAAGCAACAGCTTGAGAAGTTCTATGAAGAAGTAAGTTCAAAGTGAGCCCTGAGTAAAGAGTGAGTGGGAAGTGTATGTGTTCTGAGATAAGCTATGACAGTACCAGCTCACTTTCTTTAGATTCCATACTTTGTGTAATCTGATTTGCTGGTGAGAGCAGTAGATTTGTATGTAGAGAAACCATGTTTTATTCCTGTGTGGTTCTGACTCATTTTTTGCTTCTACTAATTAAAAACAATGTTTTGGATTCCTTTTGGGGTTTGAATTCGGGCTTATGCTATTTTTTAAAATTAAATTTATTGAGGTAACATTGGTTAATAATACATAAATTTCAGGTGTACAACAAAATTCATTATCTGTGTACTCTATTACATGCTCACCACCCAAAATTTAGTTCTCTTCTGTTATCAGATATTTGACTGTCTCTACTCATTTTGCTCTTTCTCTCTGGTAACTACTATTCTGTTGTCTGTTGCCTATGAGTTTGTTTTTGTTTGTTTTGTTACTTTTTGTTTGATATTCAACATATAAGTGAAGTCATATAATTTTTGTCTTTTTCCATCTGACATATTTCACTTAGCATTGTACCCTCAAGATCATTCATGTTACTACAGTGGCAATTTTTTTTTAATGTCTAACACTTAGGTTGTTTCCATGTCTTGGCTATTGTAAATAATGCTGTAGTAAACATAGGGATACATATATTTTTTTGAATTAGTGTTTTTATATTTTTCATGTAAATACCCAGAAGAGGAATTGCTGGGTAACTACCATATGATAGTTCTATTCTTAATTTTTAAAAGAATCTCCATACTGTTTTCCATAGTGGCTGCATCAATTTACATTCAGAAGGGCATTCCCACCAACAGTGTACAAGGGTTTCTTTTCTCTGTATCTTCTCCAACACTTACTATTTCTTGTCTTTTTTAAAATAGCCATTCTAGCAGGAATGAGGTGGTTTTGATTTGCATTTCTCTAATAACTAGTGATGTTGAATATATTTTCATGTCTGTTGGCCATCTGTATGTCTTCCCTGGGGAAATGCCGTTCAGATCCTCTGCCCATTTTTTAATCTGATTTTTTGTGTTGTTTTTTGTTGTTGTTATTGAGTTTTATGAGTTCTTTATATATTTCGGATTTTAATCCCTAATCGGACGTGTCATTTGTGAATATCTTTTCCATTTGGTGGTTGCCTTTTTGTTTTGCTGATGGTTTCTTTTGCTGTGCAGAAGCTGTTTAGTTTGCTGTAGCCCCAATTGTTTATTTCTGCTTCTGTTTTCCTTGCCTTTGGAGTCAAATTCACAAAAAACATCTCTGAGACCAATGTCTGGGAACTTAGTTTTTTTCTATGTATTTTTATTGTTTCGGGTCTTAGATTCAAGTCTTTATTCAATTTTAAGTAATTTTTGTGTATGATGTAAGATAGTGGTCTAGTTTCATTCTTTTGCATATGGCTGTCCAGTTTTCCCAGCACTGTTCATTGAAAAGACTTTCCTTTCTCCATTGTATATTTTTGGCTCCTTTGTTGTAAATTAGTTGCCCATGCATATGTAGGTTTATTTTGGGGCTCTCAATTCTGTTCCATTGGTCTGTATACCTATTTTTCTGCCAATACTATATCATTTTGGTTACTATAGCTCTGTAGTAAAGTTTGGAGTTGAGGAATGTGATTTGTTTATTATTTCTAGTAGTTTGTTGGTGGAGTCTTTAGGGTTTTCAATATATGTAATCATGTCATTGCAATTAGTGACAATTTTCCTTCTTTCCTTCGAATTTGGATGTCTTTAATTTTTTTCCTGCCTTTTTGCTCTGGCTAGGACTTCTAATACTCTGTTGAATAATAGGTAAGGTGGGTATCTTGTCTGTTCCTAATCTTAAAGGAAGAGCTTTCAGCTTATCATTGAGTATGATTTTAGCTGTGGGTTTATCTTATTGGCCTTTATTATGTTGAGGTACTTCCTCCTATACTCATTTTTTTAGGGTGTTTTTTTTTCATAATTATATATTATAACTTGTCAGATGCTTTTTCTGCATCTCTTGAGGTAATTACATGATTTTTTTTTAATATTTAGAATTAGGCAGCTGGACTCAGTTTAGATGATCCCAATTTTGTTGGCAACACCCAAAGCATCAGAGTCAGGAGCCAGTCAAACATATGCCGCCTTCTCTCCATCAGGCCTGATCAGTGTGTTGACGTTGGCCACAACAATGTCATAGAGCTTCTTCACAGCCTGTTTGATTTGGTGCTTATTGGCCTTGACATCGACAATGAACACAAGTGTGTTATTGTCTTCTATCTTCTTCATGGCTGACTCAGTAGTCAGGGGAATTTGATGATGGCATAGTGGTCAAGCTTGTTTCTCCTGGGTGCGCTCTTCCGAGAATATTTAGGCTGCCTTCGGAGCCTCAGTGTCTTTGGCTGTCAGAAGATGGGTGACGTGCAGATCTTTTGTCTGTGGCTGTGGACACCTTTCAACACTGCTTTCTTTGCCTCCAAAGCCTTTGCTTTGGGAGGGGCAGGGGCTTCCTTCTTAGCTTTCGATGCCATCTTCGTAAAAAGGAATTATGTGATTTTAAAAAAATACACATTTTATTATTTTTTTACAGAGAGGAAGGTAGAGGGATAGAGAGTTAGAAACATCGATGAGAGAGAAACATCGTTCAGCTGCCTCCTGTACACTCCCTACTGGGTAGGTGCCTGCAACCAAGGTGCATGCCCTGACCGGAATCAAACCTGGGACGCTTGAGTCCGCAGGCCGATGCTCTATCCACTGAGCCAAACCGGTTAGGGCAGAATTATGTGATTTTTATCCTTCATTTTGTTAATGTGGTATATCACATTGATTAATTTGCGGCTGTTGAACCATCCTTGCACCCCTGGAATGAATCCCAGTTGATCATGGGATATGATGGTATAGATGTTTAACTTGCTGTAGATGTAAGGGGATATGCAAAGGGGTCTTCTCACTTTTCCATGATGCTGACCTGGCTTATGTTTTTTTTTATTAGCAATGTGAACTTTGGGCTAATGACAACTTCTCTGGATTGTAGTTTCTTCACCTATAAAGTGGGGATATAATACTTGTCTCATAAGACTGTTGTGAGAATTAGATGAGATAATGTAAATTATTAGCACATAGTAAGTGCCTGGTAAATGTCTTTTGCCAGATTTCTGCTACCTCCCCCTGGCACCAATTTTAAATCTTTTGGGCTGCTTATAGACATTATTTGTACTGGGTTGGGGTGGAATCTCACTAGAATCATGTCACTCTTTCTTCCTTTGTATAGGCAGAAAAAGAAGACACTGTAGGTATGCTGCCTTCAGATCTAGAACACTTAACTTCTAGAAGAACAACGATTTTTCCAAAGACTTTGAATGCTGCTATTGGAAGTGCTTGGTCACCTTCTTCCCAGAAGCTTGATGATGGAATACAAGACAGAGAGAATCAGAATCAATTAATACAACACGCCCTGGCTGTAAGTACATATTTATTTTATATCTACAATTTTTTTTAGATGTATGACATATTAGGATATGAAGTAGAGATTAGGAGGTATCACATTCAACTTTACTTTTTCTCACCTTTTTAAAAATCTTTATAAAGTGGGAAATAGTGGGATGATGTTTATTTTAATATATGTTAAAATATATTATATTTGTTTTTGGTAACACAATTTAGAACAGCCGTGGGCAAACTACGGCCTGTGGCCGGATCCGGCCCATTTGAAATGAATAAAACTAAAAAAAAAAAAAAGACTGTACCCTTTTATGTAATGATGTTTACTTTGAATTTATATTAGTTCACACAAACACTCCATCCATGCTTTTGTTCCGGCCCTCCGGTCCAGTTTAAGAACCCATTGTGGCCCTCGAGTCAAAAAGTTTGCCCACCCGATTTAGAATCATCTTATATAAGGTGCCAAAGTGTTAAAGTTCAAAAGTTATTAGAAAGAGCTTTGGCCAGGTAGCTCAGTTGGTTAGAGCGTCATCTAATACACCAATGTTGCGGGTTTAATCCCCAGTAGAGATCATACAAGAATCAATCAGCGAATGCATAAATAAGTAGAACAACAAATCAATGTTTTTTTCTCTCTCCTTTCCTCTGTCTCAGTTTGTAGCATACGGGCAGGGTGATCCTAACCTCTGTTGCAAAAAGGTTACTACATATGTGGGGGGTTTCGTTTGTTAATTTTTTTTTTGTCGTTTAATCCGATTCTCATAATAAATAATTCTAAAAGTCAAGTAATATTATAGGAAAGTCTTAATTAACACATTCAGAGGTTTTTTTACCTGTAACTTTTATTTAGTGATTCATTTTATATACCTGATATTTCAAAATTAACCACCATCAGTAGATCCTTTCACTTGAATCACTTGATGCCATCCAGTCAACTCTATTCATAGTATGCCTGAGCTTTTGTCCAGTTGATATCATATATTTCAGGTCTGCTGTGGGAATTATCTTCATCTTACCATTTAAAAATTGTATTCCTAGGGATAGTGAGAGGAAAGCAAAATATGGAAAATGATGATTTTGTGAAAATAAAAGTTGTGTAACGGCTAACGTGTTTGATCACAGTATGAAGCAAATCCAATTGTGCTATTAGTATAAATAGGGAAAGCTTTATAAGCACATGTTATGTTGAAATATTTAAAAACATTTTTTTCTTTATCCAAAACTACAGCTTTTTCTTGTCTTTGTTCTGTTTGTAGTCATCATTTTTATAATCATTTTTGTTTTCTTTTATTAAGATTATGAATAATTTGTTGGGCAAATATTTATTGAGCCAGGCACTGCATACAGTAAAAGGGATAGAAAATTGATTAAGACGGACACAGTCCTTGCTTTTGTGGTCCTTGTAGCTATAAATCCCACTGAAGTAAGAATTTTACTTCATCTTTATAAAACATAAATAGATCAGTCCACCAGATGTACTGTTTGTTCAACATTGTAGGGATACTAATAAAATGTGAAATAGGACCCTTTGTGGGTTTATATTTACAAGTAGACATACAAAGCTAATAGACCCCCAATTTAGTAGATATTAATATAGAGATACTTGCTGTATTTGGTGATAAAGTTGTGTTTTAGCAGTTGAAAAAAATTTAAATTCCAAAGGAATAGTTAGGGAAGAATTCCTGGAAGAGGTGGAATTGAGCTGTATATTTTGAATTGTTAAGCTGAATTGAATTAGTAAATTCAAGAGAATTTTGAGATAGGAGGGACAGTTAAAAGTCTGGAATATGTATTAAGCTTGATATATTTGGAGTAAGTGATAGAACCTTTCTAATGCTAGTTTATAGAGGAAAAAACAGAAAATGAGGTTAGGTAGGAGGAAATCAAGTTATGAGAAGCCTTAAAAGTTTCAAAAATTTTAAAAGTTTTTATAGTATGTTTTTTTCTTAAAAGATGAACTACTAAATGTTCAGTGATTTAAACCAGCGGTCACCAACCAGTGGTCCGTGAGGTCCGAAAGGTTGGCGACCACTGAAAACTACTTCAAGCCTATAAACTTTTGTCCACACAACACCATGACAATAGACACTTTTTAAAGTTTGTCGTTTCTGTTGCAGTTCTTATCCACTAGATGTCACTAAGAGCTAGACAGTGAGACTGTTCAAGCACAGCCGCCTTTAGTTTATCTAGAACTGGTTGAGTAAATAGTGATGTAATTCTCTTTCTGAATGTAAGTGTACTTTTCAATTTTCTTGTGATTTAAGGATGAAATAGTTTGATAGTTTGACATCTGGGTTGTATTTCAAAATAATGTAAGGGTGAGGTGAAGTAGAGGGTTATAAATAAAACAAGATTGGCCAACAGTTATAGTATTCTGTCTGCTTCTATATGTGTTTGAAGTTTCTAATATATTTGAATTTATTTACACTTTACATTAAATGTTAGAGAAGGAAAGACATTATCTAGTCTAACCTTTCTCTCTCTAAGGAATTCTTTTTATAGTGTTTCAAGTATACATATGGCCCTCTAATTTCTGCTAGAACATTGCCACCATTGATCAACTCACTTTTTAGACTTTAATTATTATAAGGTTTGAAATAATTACAAATATTTTTTCAATATATTGAGTAAAAATCTATAATTTTTACTCTGGGTCTAGTTTTGTACTCTCAAGTTATAGAGGATAAAATACCATGGTGAGCTCTAAGAACACATCAAGTATTTGATTATAGCTATCATTTTTCTCCTTTTGGATTTTTACATTCCTTGATTCTACTAGCTTTTGATGTCTGCTGGCATTCCTTTGCTTGTGGCCACATCATACCAATCTCTGCCTCTGTCTTCACATCACCTTCTCTCCTATGGGTCAAATCTTCCTCTGTCTCTTATAAGGATACTAGTGACCTGGTATTCGAAATTGCATGGCTCCGCCCACCCACCCACTGCCCCGCCTTGACACCCTAACCTCTCCACCCAGAGCTTGAGCGTGCCTGGCCCCGCCCCCGACCCGTCTGGCCTTCTCTATCCACTTCAAGCCCCGCCCTCAGTCCCCCCCCCCCCCCCCCAGTCACCTTGGGCTGGTCCCATCTCCAGAGCAACATGGGGGCTCCGCCCCATCATGGCGCCAGAGGAGAGTGTGGAAGCCTGCGCCTACTGTGGAGTTTCGAGTGCCGCTTCCTGGTGGTGCGCGCTGCGCTCCTTCCCCTGGCAGGTGGGCAGTGGGCGTGCTGAGTGCAAGCAGTGGGTGGCAAAGGACTGGTGAAGGGGGCACTACAGGCTCTCACCCCTGCCCTCCCCACCACGGGATGGTCCCGCCTCCTCCGGGCACCTCCCTGCTGCCACCCTGTCTCTGGAGCAACACTGCGGCTCTGCCCTGCCGTGGGCAGCCTCCTGCTGAACGGTCGTTAGGGCATGAGGGCATCACGACCATTAGCATATTAGCTCTTTATTGTATAGGACTAGAGGCCCGGTGCACAAAAATTTGTGCACTCGGGGGCAGGGGGGGTCCCTCAGCCCAGCCTGTGCCCTCTCACAGTCTGGCACCCCTCGGGAGATAACGACCTGCTGGCTTAGGTCTGCTCCCGGGTGGCAGAGGGCAGGCCCAATCCCTAGGTGCAGCCCCTGGTCGGGCTCAGAGCAGGGCCGATTGGGGAGTTGGGGCGCTTTCCCCTGTCATGCACAGAGCAGGGCAGATTGGGAGGTTGCGATGCCACCCTCAGTCATGCTCAGGGTAGGGCCGATTAGGGGGTTGGGGCACTGCCCCCTGTCACACTCAAGGCAGGGTCTATGGGGAGGTTGCGGTGCCACCCCCTGTCACGCACAGAGCAGGGCCCATCAGGGGGGTTGGGGCTCTGTACCCTGTCATGCACAGAGCAGGGCCAATCAGGGGGTTGGGGCGCTGCCCCCTGTCACGCACAGAGCAGGGCCCATCAGGGGGGTTGGGGCTCCATACCCTGTCACGCACAGAGCAGGGTCAATCAGGGGGTTGAGGAGCTCCCCCCTGTCACTCACAGAGTAGGGCCAATAGGGGAGTTGGGGAACCGCCCCCTGTCACACTCAGGGAAGGGCGGATCAGGGGGCTGGGGCGCTGCCACTCTCACACTCAGGGCAGGGCCGATCAGGTGGTTGGGGCGCCGCCACTCTCACACTCAGGGCAGGGCCAATGGGGAGGTTATGGCTCTACCCCATCACACACAGAGCAGGGCCCGTGGGGCGGGGGGGTTGGGGCGCCGCACCCTGTCACACACAGAGCAGGGTCGATCAGGGGGTTTGGGTGCTGCCCCCTGTCACACTGATCCCGGTGCCGGGAGGCCTCGCGGCTCCGCTGATCCCGGTGCTGGGAGGCATATTACCCTTTTACTATATAGGATAGAGGCCTGGTGCATGGGTGGGGCTGGCTGGTTTGCCCTGAAGGGTGTCCTGGATCAGGGTGGGGGTCCCCACTGGGGTGCCTGGCCAGCCTGGGTGAGGGGATGATGGCTGTTTGCAGCTGGTCACACACCCTTCAGGGTGGGGGTCCCCACTGGGGTGCCTGCATTTAGGGCCCATCTGGATAATCCAGTATTATTTCCTCATCTTAAGATCTTTAACTTAATCACATCTGCAAAGGCACTTTTTCCTTATAAAGAAACATTTAAAAGTTTCAGGTATTGGGACCAGATATCTTTGGGTAGCCATTGTTCAGTCCTCATAGCAGGTCATTGAAAGGGCCTTTGGGTTGAGGTTTGATGAAGGGTTTAGATAATGACAGAGCAAAAGAATGAATATAATATATATTCCAACTGCTTTGGCCACTTGAAATTCCTGCTTATGGGACTAAAATCAATCTGTGACTCTAATTGAGTTTTAAACTCAATGGGAAATGAAAATTATGTATCCTCATTTAAATCTGTTACATTGTGTAGGGCAATAACATGCATCCTACTGGGCAATGAGTAAAAGGAGGCATATTCACCAGCTGGTGTGGCTCAGTGGCTGATCATTGACCCATGGACCAAGGGGTTGCCGGTTCAATTCCCGGTCAGGGCACATGCCTGGGTTTCAGGCTCAATTCCCAGGGGGACATGCAGAGGCAGACGATCGATGTTTCTTTCTCATCGATGTTTCTATCTCTCTATCCCTCTCCCTTCCTTTCTCATAAAATCAATAAAAAATATGTTTTTAAAAGGAGACATAATCATGGCTTTGTATTTTTTTATAACCTCAACTGCACATATACCTCTTTTTGCATTTTAAGTAACTGTTGTGATCCCTGTAGCTACTCTGTGCTAACCAAATGTAGAAATCTCCTTCCTAGTCGAATAAAGAGTGATGTTTCAAGCAGATTTCTCTGGTTAGAGGTATAGACATTCTAGAAGCAAGAACAAAACAGGTGATATATGCTGTAAGGAAAATGGGCTGGTTGTGAAAGTGTTTTTTATCCCTACTTCACTATTAGTAAAAATCACAACAGTATTTACTATTTACTAGAGGCCCGGTGCACGAAATCTGTACATGGATAGGGTCCCTAGGTCTGGCTGGCGATCAGGGCCAATCTGTGGGGTGACCAACGGGGCAATTGGGGGCCTCCACTAACCCGCCTTGGCTGGCCTGGTGCCGCCCATTTGCCAGCCCTGCCCCCCACTGCCGAAGCCAGTTGGGCCCTGCGGTCTGGGAGCAGCTCCGGCATTGAGCATCTGCCCCCTGGTGGTCAGTGCACATTATAACAACTGGTCGTTCTGCTGGTGGTTACACCATTCAGTCTAGGGTTTTATATAGATAGATATCTATAAATCAGAGTCATGATTTTCCTTCCAAGGGAGAACTAATCTCATTAAACTTTCACTGGTTGGGTTAGAACTGGTCCCTGCTTTGCCATAATTTCACTGCGTGCCACAGGGATATGCTTTTCTCCCATATGATATGTAGTGCTCAGCCTAAATAAAAGGATCTTTGTTCATTTCTGTATTTTCCTTTAAGGAACATTCTATACAGATTTGTGAAATATAGAGTAGGCTGTGCTTCTCTGAAAAAGAATTAAAAATAGATGCTTACTGAAATTAGTAGGTAGAGATTAGGAATGAACACAAAGTCAGCATACTTGGTATTAATACTCATTATCAGCTGTTACTTAGAGTACTTAAAACTAATTGGTTCTGTTGAGATGTTGGAGTTTGTGTCCTCAGGTAACTTAGGAAGGCTTCATGGAAGAAGGGAGATTTGAGAAAATACTTTAAATAATTACACTCTTCAAATGTAGGGGTGAAGAAGGGTTCATGTAAATAGGAAAAAAGGATTTTAGGAGGATTAGGAATTAGAGACATCTAGCAAGGAGTGATAAAAGGTAATTAGGCATGCAAGGACCAGAAGGTAATAAGTCTGTTCAATAATTTCTAGTGTAATAATTCAAACTTTTAGGTTCTGATATTTTTGTGTACAGAGTATAAAACATACCTTATTTAAAAAAATTTGAGCACTTAAAACAAGTTATGAAATGCAGTCTCTTAATAAAAATAATGTAAAAACACTATCAACAGGTCACAGTCTCCTTTATAAGTAATCCTCTTGTCTTAGGTCTCGAATTTCTTAATAATAGGGGCCTGTGTTCTTGTTGGAACACTTTAGTGAATTTGGTATTAAGACATTTGTTTGCTTTTTTTCCCCTTTTCCCTGACAGCTTAGGAAAACCATGAAACAGGCACGTCACCAGCTGGCATCCTTTAAAACTATGAATCAAAAATATGCAACAGTGTTTCCACATGATACAAGGAAAAGCTGTCCCGCCCAACAGGTAAATTAACTTCTAATAAATTTTTTTAATAGTGATAAAAATATAGATAAAGATTTATTTATATCTAATTTCAACATTATTTACAACTGTAAAATAATTGGAAATAACCTTAAATATCCAATAGCAGGGAATGGTTAAAAAATTATGATACACCTATATATAGCCATTCTAAAAACTATCATGATTTCAGAGAACATCTGAAGACAAGGGAAAGTGTCTGTGAGGTAAAGTTTAGTGAAAAAAGTAGGGTACAAAATTATATACAATATAATCTCAATTTTATTTATTTATTTATTTATTTATTTTTAATGATTTTTTAAAAAAATATATTGATTTTTTACAGAGAGGAAGGGAGAGAGATAGAGAGTTAGAAACATCGATGAGAGAGAAACATCGATGAGAGAGAAACATCGATCAGCTGCCTCCTGCACATCTCCTACTGGGGATATGCCTGCAACCCAGGTACATGCCCTTGACCGGAATCGAACCTGGGACCTTTCAGTCCGCAGGCCGACGCTGTATCCACTGAGCCAAACCGGTTTCGGCATAATCTCAATTTTAAAAAGTCTTTCAACAAATATTTATGGGACATCTACAAATGCCAAGACATTGTGTTAGAACAGCTGTGGGCAAACTACGGGCCGTTTGAAATGAATAAAACTAAAAAAAAAAAAAAACTGTACCCTTTTATGTAATGATGTTTACTTTGAATTTATATTAGTTCACACAAACACTCCATCCATGCTTTTGTTCCGGCCCTCCGGTCCAGTTTAAGAACCCATTGTGGCCCTCGAGTCAAAAAGTTTGCCCACCCCTGTGTTAGAAGCAGGTGAAAAGATGGACAAAGATCCCTCAAGAAGCTTCTGTGCTGTGGGGAGGCATATAATAAAGAGATATCTATTATATTCTATATAGAATATAATTTCTAACAGTAAGTGCTATGAAAAAAAATAAAGTAAAATAAAGAGATGGGGAGAGAATGCTGTGTGCATAGACAAAAGCCTAGAAAGAAGTGGATCAAGAAGTTAATACTGATCATTTCTGAGTAGTTGTATTACAGGTGATTTTTATTTTCTTCTCTTGGTTTTCTTTACTTAAAATGTTTTCTATAATGTATATATTTTGCTTTCTAATTAGGAAAAAATACTGTTATTTTTTAAAAAGAAAGAAATTGTTTTGATTCAACAGATAACATAAGAGTGAATAATTGGAACCCAAATGCGGAGCTAAACTGAAAAGGATATTTAAGGCTATACTTGTAAAATAACACTGTTTTGGTGCCTACTTATTTCAGTGTTCACATATTTGGATGCTAAACTCCTTTACTTTCCTTTGTTTACATAATTTTGGGATTAATTTCAAGTTTTGGTAGGCAGCATCTAGAAAAATGGACCATTAGGCTTTTTTACTTTTTTTTTGTGCTACCATAGACTGTTTTATTTAGTTCTTCCTCAGTTTTGCTTCCTAATTAGCATTCTTTTATATTTTCCTAGATTATACATATATATTTTATTTTTGTATTTTTTTCTTAAGTATCTCAACAGTCAAAAACACTTGTCACTTATATGTTTGCAGTTGGTAGAATACTAAACTATACTGTCTTCCGTCTCAGTGTTAAGAAATTTATACTTAAATATCAAAATACAAGTGGGCAGCGGTGTGTATCCATATATGGCATTCCATCTAGTTGCATTCATACTGGTTACCTTTTCCTAAAGAGCATTGCCGTATTGAGACTCAAGGTAGAGTTTCTTTTGTGCCTAAATTCTTCTCAGTGGCTTGGTATCTTGACACTTTCCATACCTACTGTAGATTCGGACTGACTCCAGGGTACTGTTAGAAAGAGGCGATTGGACACATTCTAATAAACCAGAGAAAAGGGCTTATTTGATGCTAGAGATTGATATTTTATATGGTGTGGAACATGTTCAAACTGCTCAATTGTTTTTCCCCACAAAGAGTACTATTCACAGGTCTGACTGAGATAATTATCCAGTAGAAGGAAGGAGGATGAAGCCTGAGATAACATCCTTGCATAAGCCAGCTGATACGTCAGAGATGCCATTTAAGTGTAATACGTTATGATGATGATGATGACGATGATGATGAATTCAGGCTGCTGCTTGATTTCAGAGAATTCATGTGTATTTTTCAGGTGTAACATCAGAAACAAATCTGCATATAATTGAGAGTGATTAAGAAATTTGTGAAGTTTTTCTTATCACTTATTTCAAGTATGTAATCTTTCCCTCAGGTCTGAAGTTTTCTACCCTCTCAGTTATCTGAAGTGGAAATCTTCCAGTCAGAAAGGAGAACCATCTATTTGAATTCTGGTTTCATTTCCTTGTTAGATTTATTTTTACTGACATTAGAATCTGTCTGGTTGTTATTGCTGTTCCAGACCTGGAGCTTTAAGCAGAAGATATACTTGCTTGCCTGCTGTCAGGTCACCAAGACAAAAATCATAAGCTTCTGAAATTGTCACTGGCATCTTTTTATGTGCTTATTGCCCATTTATGTATTTCTTGTGGAGAAAATGCCAGTGTGATACTGTTTCTTAATTGGGTTATTTGTCTTATTATTAAGTTGTAAGAGTTCTTTATATATTCCCAATACAAATCAGATACATGATTTGCAAGTATTTTCTCCCATTCTGTGAGTTGTTGTCATTTCACTTTCTTTCTTTTTTTTTTTTTTTTAATATATTTTATTGATTTTTTACAGAGAGGAAGGGAGAGGAATAGAGAGTTAGAAACATCGATGAGAGAGAAACATCAATCAGCCGCCTCCTGCACACCTCCCACTGGGGATATATGCCTGCAACCAAGGCACACGCCCTTGACCAGAATCGAACCTGGGACCCTTGAGTCCGCAGGCCAACCCTCTATCCACTGAGCCAAACCGGTCAGGGCCATTTCACTTTCTTAATGCTATCATTTGCAGCACAGAATTTTTGATTTTGGTGTGTCTAATTGATCTAGTTTTTTTGCTGTTGTTGTTGCTTGTGCTTTTGGTGTGGTATCTAATAAGCCATTGTTTAATCAGAGGTCCTGAATATTTCCTTCTATATGCTCTTCTAATAATTTTATAGTCTTAGCTATTACATTTAGGTCTATGATCCATTGTGGTCTATAATCTCTATATGTGGTCTGAGGAAGTGTTCTAACTTAATTCTTTTGAATATGGATATCTACTTGCCCCAACACCATTTGTTGAAAAATTATTCTTTTTTTTTTTTTTTAATATATTTTATTGATTTTTTACAGAGAGGAAGGGAGAGGGATAGAGAGTTAGAAACATCAATGAGAGAGAAACATCGATCAGCCGCCTCCTGCACACCTCCCACTGGGGATATGCCCGCAACCAAGGTACATGCCCTTGACCGGAATCGAACCTGGAACCCTTGAGTCTGCAGGCCGACACTCTATCCACTGAGCCAAACCAGCCAGGGCTGAAAAATTATTCTTTCTCTATTTAATTGTCTTGATATTTCTTGAAAATTAGTTGACTGTACTAGTAAGTGTAAGAGTTTAATGTTATCTTTACAATATTGTCTTTGGAGATCCATGAAGATGAAATCTATTTAGATCTTCTTTAATTCATTTCAACAATATTTTATAGTTTTGAGTGTACATTTTTGCACTTATTTTGTAATGTCCTGTTTTTGTAATATTTGACTATACTAACCTACTAAAATTGTATTAGTAGTGTGGTAAAGCCTAGGATGTTATTTCAGTCACATTGTTTCTTCCTGTAATAGATACATTTGGATTTCTAAAATTTTTATATAGACATAATTTTTTCATTTTTGTTTGTGTGTTCTTTAGGAACCTGACTCTGAGGAATCTTCATCGATTACGATAGACAAGAAAGGGGAAGAAAAATTGTTTTGGAAGAACCAACAGGGTTTCTTTTCTGAAGAGAAGAACAAAGCTTTCAGCAGAGTTCAGGTAAAGCAGAGTGAAAGGAGTTAGTATAATAGAAATTAAACTAAAATGACTTAGACTAGGGATGCCAGTACTGTTGTACTGGTTTGGGATTATAGATTTAGGTTACGTGGAGCAAAGTCTATAATTTCACATTTTATTCTAATAATTTGTTTGACTACCATATCCTTTTAAGATTATTTTAAGAGTCTCTGGAAAACCTATATTTGATGTTTATGTTCACTTTTAGAAAATACAATTCAAAACTCCATTATATGCTGTAATAGAAGAGGAACAGCTAAATGAGTTACAGGATATTCTGCCAGAAACGCAGGATTATCTTTCAGAAACCCAAGGTGATCTGCTGGAGACCCAGGGTGATCTAACAGGAGTGCAGAGTGTTGAGCTGGAAGCCCAGAATATTGAGCCACATTCCCAGGCTGTTGAGCTGGCAGGCCAGCCTATGGACGGCCAAGTTGTTGAACCCAAAGCCCAGGCCATTGAACTTAAAGTCCAGGTTGTTAAGCTAGAACCTCAGAGTCTGATGCTGGAAGCCCAGAGTATTGAACTAGAAGATGGAAATACGTTGGAAGTCCATGATTTTTTATCCCCAAATCAGGCTTTTCTACCCAAAGACCAGAACATTCTACCCAATGACCAGAATATTCTACTCAAGTGTCAGGACCAACATATTCTACGCAAAGACCAGCATGTTTTCCCCAAAGACCAGGATATTCAACCCAAATATCAGGACCAGGATTTTATACCCAAATGTCCAGACCAACATATTCTACGCAGAGATCAGCATGTTTTCCCCAAAGACCAGGATATTCAACCCAAATATCAGGACCAGGATTTTATGCCCAAATGTCCAAACCAACATTTTATACCCAAAGACCAGCATATTCTTGCTAACGACCAGAATAGCATACCCAAATTTCAACACCAGCATTTTCTACCCAGAGAGCAATGTGTTCTCACCAAAGGTCAGCATGTTTTCTCCAATGAACAGAATACTCGATGCAAATGTCAGGACCAGGATTTTCTACCCAGATATCAGGCAAAATGGAGTGGGAAGGAGATAAAGCAAGAAGAAATAAGCTACTTAAGGTTTGGAGTGGGATTTGCAGGGACTAGATTGCAACTAATTTGGAGATTCATAGTTGGAAAAGATAATATCCTGGTTGATTTCTAAAAGCTCTGGAGTTCTCATTGAGTCTTAAAGTAATATCAGCAGCATGTTACCCTGTCTGGACAATTTACCGTTTTTATAAAATAAAATATTATATTTTTTTTATTGATTTCAGAGAGGAAGGGAGAGGGAGAGAGAGAGATAGAAACATCAATGATGAGAAAGAATCATCGGTTGGTGGCCTCCTGCATGCCCCCCACAGAAGCCCACAACCCGGACATGTGCCCTTGACTGGAATCAAATCCGGGACCCTTCAGACCACAGGCTGATGCTCTACCACTGACCCAAACCAGCTAGGGCTGGACAATTACTTTAAATAAAATCTTTATTAGGGAAACTATTTCTGGCAGCCATAATCTGCTTTGATAGCTAAAGATGGGCGAAGGAGTGGCCCACAAGTGTTCAGTAGTATCTTTTACCAGATTACAAGGCCAGCCCTCTACTAGAGATCAGTTAGACCAAAAGGAAGAAGTAAGAGATTGACAGGAATTACTTAGGGGTGTGGCTGGGCTAAGGTGGAATAGAGTATAGGGTTTTGTTTTATTCCATAAGATGTCCAGTTATTCTCTGACCTCAGAGAACTCCAGAATTCTCACTATAGCCTAAAGTACTATTGGTTAACATGTCTTTCTAACTGCACAATTGCTATTTTGTGCTTGTTCTGTTTTAGAAAGCAAGTTAAAGCAGCCAGCATCAATTTGGATAGGTAGGAGAGGAAGAGAGGTATTTTCTTTGGATGTCCATCAAAATCAGGCCTCCATCAGGGACATGGTCGGACACAAAAGGGAAAGAGACCAGCAGGAACTGAGTTGTTTAGGTTTAGTGTGGAGCTTGCAAAAATTGTTCTCAGCTAGAACGGACAAAAAGTATGGTTTTCTCTTTTATTCCAATGTATCCTGAATTTAAAAATTACCATAAAGTTCACAGTAAAGCTCAGAATGATATTGCTATCATATTACTCCTACTGGACAATTTACAGTTTGTATTTATTTTCTTTTAGAAAGTCCGCTTCAAGGAGCCATATTCTGTTATAAATGAGAGAGGGAGACATGGCTTTTCTCTGGCAGGTTATCAGTCTCCGACTCCTAAAGTTCAGGACCAGGTGTGCATCAGTGATCAGGTAAAGCAGAATAAGAAAGAGATAAATGGGAAATGAAGTGCTGGGTTTTAGACATTCTCAACAACTGGTAATGTGAAGAATAGAGTCAGGTGCAAAGGTCCCTGGTCTAATGAGCAATATCAGTCAGATCAGTTCTGTGATTCAGAAGGCTGATAAACCATGTTCAGATTCTTCTTTTTGTTGTTAATCTTCACCTGAGGATATGTTTTCATTGATTTTTAGAGAGACTGGAAGGGAGGAGGAGAGATAGAGAAACATTATGTGAGAGAGCCACATGGATTGGTTGCCTCCTGCACGTGCTCTGACTAGAGCCAGAGATTGAACTTGTGACGAGGTATGTGCCCTCGATCAGAATCAAACCCGGGACTCTTCAGTCCACAGGCTGATGCTCTACCCACTGAGCAATACCGACTAGGGCACCATGTTCATATTCTAGGTATAGAATCAGACTGTTTTAATTTACTAAGATTACATTACAGCTTTTGCTGAAGCTAGTGGAATTACCTTGTGGTAATTGCCCTGACATAAATAAAGTAGGAAGAAGTAGTAGATCCTAAATTACTTAAAATTTGAGGAGTTTGTCAGACTATTCTGTATATGGCTTGGGATTAAAAATTAAGGCCTACAGAGTTGAGCTAAAAGTGGCACATTCTTGTTCAGATCAAAATGTATGAGAATATCTTCACCTGATAGCATTTCCCTGGAGTTCTCATTGCAGCCTACAATGTTATGATTAGCATGTTACCCTGGTTAGGCAATTTCTTTTCTGTTTTTGTTGTTCCTTTAGAACATGTTTTTCGAGCAGCCGTCATCTTTTCTGAGAGAAGTGAGAGTGAGAGATGAATTTCCTCCGGAGTATCATCATTATGTTAACCCTCAAGTCCAGGACCAAGCCTCCCCTGGCGATCAGGTAGAACAGAAGACAGTGGGGAGGATGTCACTTTTCAAAGGAGTAACAGAGACAAATTAAGATTTGGGCTGGAGCCGAAACCGGTTTGGCTCAGTGGATAGAGCATCGGCCTGTGGACTGAGAGGTCCTAGGTTCGATTCCGGTCAAGGGCATGTACCTGGGTTGCGGGCACATCCCCAATAGGAGATGTGCAGGAGGCGGCTGATTGATGTTTCTCTCTCATCGATGTTTCTAACTCTCTATCTCTCTCCCTTCCTCTCTGTAAAGAATCAATAAAATATATATATAAAAAAAAAAAAGATTTGGGCTGGAGCTTATCAAGGTAGCTTATATGTAGGATACATAGATTGGAGGCTTCTAGAGTTAGGCTAACAATATCACCTTTTCAGTTATTTCAAAATGAGTCCCTTCTAAAGACTGCAGATGAGAAAGCATACCTTTGTCATTTGAGTTAACTGAGAAACAGGTTTTATATAATTGGTTAACAGTAAATTGTTTTTTTAAACTCAAGTCCTTTAGCCTATTTATTTGGCCTTATACATCTATAATAATAAAAGCATAGTATGCTAATTATTCCGGACGACCTTCCAGACAAGCCAGGGCTACAAGGGAAGCCTGGGTCCCGGGTGCCAGAGGGAAGCCAGTGCCGGCAGCCGAGGGAAAGAATGCCTATTCTTGCATGAATTTCATGCATCGGGCCTCTAGTTATTTTATAAATGCTGAAGGGAGTCTACTTTTGATCAACCAATGCAGGATACCAAACCCAGGCATCCAGTTTGCAGACCAGTTATGATGGATACAACAAGCTATTTGCTGCCTCAGAACTTCCTGAACTTTACTAGTGTTTGTGCATGAATTATTGGGGACACCAAGTAGGAGTACTTGTGAAAATGACACCAACTTGTCTCCTGGCTTTTCCTTGGGAAAATGCTAGCAACATTATAAAAATACTGTTTTATAATGTCCCAGTACACGAAATTTGTGCACTGAGGGGGGGAGGTGTCCCTCAGCCCGGCCTGCACCCTCTTGCAGTCCAGGACCTCTTGGGTGATTTCCATCTGCCACTTCTCGCCGGGAGTGGGCCTAAGCTGGCAGGAGGACATCCCTCTAGCAATCTGGGACCCCTTGCTCCTTACTGCCCACCTACTCGCTGTTCCTTACCGTTCAGCTCGCTGCTCCTTAGCACTGCCATGGAGGCAGGAGAGGCTCCCACCACCGCCACTGTGCTTGCCAGGTGTGAGCCTGGCTTCTGGCTGAGCGGCGCTTTCCCTGTGGGAGCACACTGACCACCAAGGGGCAGATGCATTGAGCATCTGCCTCCTCGTGGTCAGTGTGCATCATAGCAACTGGTCTTTCTCGTCGTTCCACTGTAATGGTCACTTAGGCTTTTATTATATAGATTGCCTTGTTGCTTTATCTTCTTTTAACTATGCTATTGCAGAAAGAAGAAGTGCCAGAACAATCTTGGTTTTGCTTTAAAATACTCCAGGAAAAACGTGGGAGAAGAGATAGATGAAAAAATAAAACGTTGCCAATTATTGAAGCTGGGTGAAGGGTATCTTGGGATTCATTATACTCTGTTTTTTCCCTATTTTGATGTGTATCTGGAAATTTTATATTAAACACACACACACACACCCTTGTTAAATTATCCTACCCTAGTATCATTATTCTGGGATTGTCACTGAAGTCTACATTATTGTCACTAACCCATCATTTTTGCTTATACAAGAAGTTTTTATTTTGTTGTTCCTTTAAAACAACTATACCAAGCAACCCCCCCCCCTTTTTTTTTTGAGAAATGAGAGTTTGAAACAGGAATTGCTTCTGGAGTGCCATTGGCTTGTTTCACCCAGAATTCAAGACCTAGGCTCTCCAGAGAGTAAGTAGAGAACGCTCTAGTAAGGAGTAAGTAGCAGAGAGTAAATGGCTTAGGCTTTGTCTCAAGATTGACAGGGCAGTGTGGTAGCTGCTCCAGGGGCTTAGTTTTAAGGTCAGTAATAATGGACAAAGATATAATCTCTTCTTGTTTTGTGATGTATCACACCATTCTGACCTATTGAAACGACTTCAGGCCTCTTCACTGAAGCATTTACTGTTGCCCTGGCATGATGCTCCTGCTTGGAAAATGTTCAGTGTTTATGAGGTCTTTCAGCACAGGAACTATGAGCAGGTCTCACGTAATATGACAGTTGAGATATGGAGAAGGGAGTTATTTCTGGAGTGCCATGAATATGTCGTACATTAAATCCAGGATTCAGGCTCTGCCAGAGAGCAGCAGAGCAGAGTAAAAAGTAAACAGCAGAAAGTAAATTAGAGTTGGATCTGGGCTATGCTACTAACAACAGTGATGATGATGGTGATAGTGTTGTCTCTTAATATTAATAACATTAATATTATTATGACTGACAGCTTACATTCTTAAGCTAAAATTGATCTAGAACCTTATGTCCATTGTCTCATTTAATTCTCACAATAACTCTGGGAGATAGATTTTATTATTACCCTTGTTTTATAGATGAAGAAACTTTTGATTGCTTTGTGGACACTATTAAGGTCCAAATAGTGGCCAGAAGTATGTCTACTTTTATACCATACTGTATCATATTCTTCTGACCTATTTAGATGACTTCAGGGCATCATTGCAGCCTGTAGTATTTTCACTACCATTCTGCCACTGCTCATACATTTGGTGGGTGCTTTTGTATCTTTTTAGAGCTTATACTCCAGGCAGCAGCCATCTGTCGGAACAGCTGAAAGATGGCGAGATTTGCTTCTGGATGGCCATCAGTATCTTCCAGCCAAGCACCCGAGAGAAGCTTCCAGCAGAAGGCAGGTATGAGCAGTAGACTGTAAACAGGAGTACAGGCACTTACTGAGCTGCGGGTGGTAAGGCTGAGCAAAAAGCAGATTCTTGTTTTATATCATAGAGTGTAAAACCTATCCTGACCTAAGATTACTCTAGGGCTCTCACTGAAAGAAACAGTATTGTCAGGAGTACTTGTTGCCTATTAGGAAAACTACATTTTATATGTATGTTCTTTGTGAAAGGTGTATTTCTGGTGGCTGTTCTCTCTTATGGTGTGAGAGGAGAAGAAATGAGTGGTTTCTGAGAGGGAGGGGTCAGGAGGATCTTCCAGCCAATGACCAGGACTAGATCTCCCTCATAAGCTGCTAGAGCACATGGCAGGGTTTCACCAAGAGATAAACAATTCAGAGTTTGGGCTGGAGCTTGTTAGGGTTTTGTTATATTGTCAAAGTTTTGGTGTTTTGAGTGAAGATCAATAGTTTTTCAAGAAAATATTAAAATATCCTGGCCCTACTAAGATTTTTCCATGGCTTAACTGAAGTCTATTAGAATTTTACCACTGTCTGGATAATTTCTATCTTGTGGTTTTATCTTGTTATTTTAAAAACAGCCTCAGGCAACCAGCATTGTTACAATATATGAAAGAGATAAAGAGAAATTTCCTCTTGGCTCTTCTAGGAGAGCAAAAAGAAAAGGAGGCATAAAGGCAGAAAGTAGGATTTGGGCTGAGGTTTTCCGAACTAAGCTGCCACTCTTTTGGGATTTTTAGTTTGGGTCTATAAGGTTGACCTAAGGCAGTGGTCAGCAAACTCATTAGTCAACAGAGCCAAATATCAACAGTATAACGATTGAAATTTCTTTTGAGAGCCAAATTTTTTAAACTTAAACTATATAGGTAGGTACATTGTTATTAACTTAATTAGGGGGCTCCTAAGGCTTAGGAAGAGCCACACTCAAGGGGCCAAAGAGCCGCATGTGGCTCGCGAGCCGCAGTTTGCCGACCACGGGCCTAAGGGTTTGCTGTCATGTTTTATTCTTTTTTTAAAAAAATATATTTTATTGATTTTTTTACAGAGAGGAGGGGAGAGGGATAGAGTTAGAAACATCGATGAGAGAGAAACATCGATCAGCTGCCTCTTGCACACCCCCTACTGGGGATGTGCCCGCAACCAAGGTACATGCCCTTGACTGGAATCGAACCTGGGACCCTTGAGTCTGCAGGTGGATGCTCTATCCGCTGAGCCAAACCGGTTAGGGCATGTCATGTTTTATTCTGCATCACCATTCATATATGCTGAACTATGCTGGGCTCTTTCCTACCTCAAGTCTTTTGCATATTTCCCCCCCTCTCCCTTCATGGTCTTTTTTTTCTTCACAAAGCTGGTCCTTTCTTATCCTTCCGGTTTCAGCTAAAATTTCACCTCCGTAGAAAAACTACCTTGAGCAAATTATCAAAAATAGGTCTCTCCTCTTCTTTGGTTTTTATTTTAAATCCCTGCTTTCTATTTTCTTCTCAGTACAAAAAAGACTTTGTTGTTATTTACTTATTTACATCTTTTCCACTGGGCTGTAAGCTTCTGTATGGGCAGCCTTTAGCACAATACTGGTACCTGGTAGTCTCTTGCTAAATATGTTTTGAATGAATAAGTCAGTCAGTCAAACATTTATTGAGCACCTGTTAGGTGCTAGCCATTATTTAGGTCCTAAATATCAAAGATAGCATGCAAAAGAAGACACAGCACTCAATTTCTAAACAAGAGAGACTGAGACAGAAGCAGATGGTTATGAAGCAACGTGGCTAGTTGTAGAGAAGGCGTAGGGCATTATCTGAGCACAGAAGAGGGGTACCTAACCCTGACTGTTCAATGGAGGGTGTGGCTTTGTAGTCACTGCCTCCTCTTGTCCTTCTGCCATCCAGCCCTGAAAATCCTCAGCCCTGATCAGTCCTTTTTCATTTTAGATTCCCAAATAATCGAGCCTCATGGAAGAAAACACTTTATTCATGTAGATTTGAACCACATTCATACTACCATTTACAGTCCCAGCTGGGTCCCCAGTACTGCTTAGCATTTTTCTTGCCTGCCCCTCCCGTAGCTCACACTGGTAATTCTAATCCTTAAACACTTCTTAAAGTTCTTGCTGTTCCCCGTACTCTCTGGCTTTCATAAAGAAAATTGAAGCCATCACACAAAACTGCCTCAGCTGTTTACTTTTCGCTATTCTTCCTATTCTTACTATCTCAGAGGAAGAGTTGTCTCTCTTTGGACCCATATTCTGGATTCTCTTGCTACCTTTACTTCCGTGTCCAATTTTGAATGTTATATAAGACTTTGGTTTCTGTCAAAATCCTCTAAAGAATGTTGCATCCTTTTTGTTTGCAGCAGGCATCACCTGGCTGGGTTCAGACTCTCAGTAGTTTCTCGCCTTCTGTGAACAGTGACTTCAGTGTTAGTTCAGTTCTCAAAGCCTTCGTTGTCCTCCTCTAGGTCCAGCCCTGTGCACACACAGCTCAGGGTGACTCTGGGATGTGTGCCAGTTCATACACGGAATTAAAGGATCCTCTTTTCTAGCTCGCTCCCCTTCAGGATACCCACCCTCTACACTCCCCAGATCCCACTGACGACAATTTTTTTTACAATCAATGAGAGAGAGAGAGAGAGAGAGAGAGAGAGAGAGAGAGAGAGAGAGAGAGAGAAAGACAGAGAAATCTGTCGTGGGCTTACTCCTTTACCAGTGCTGGAAGTCTAGTTTTTCTTACTTTTTTGAAAGCAGAAAATAATTTCATTTTTATTGTAGCAAAAGTAAATCCAAACAGAAAAAAAAAACTCCACAAAAATTCTAGAGAGAACCATCATAAGCCTTTTGCTATTTCTCATTTTCCTATAACAAACAAATGAATCACTTTAAAAATCATAGCCTTATTGAGATATATAGTCTAGTCTTGTCATTCACGGTAGCTATGTTCTATATAGTTGCCTCAAACACCAAATTAGTGAATTCTGAACCATTGCTCCTAGGGAAGATATAGGTTAGGTTCCTGGGAGCATCTGATCACATTTTTGTTAGCTGATCAATACATTACCTTGTTGTATATGAATTGTTGTTTAAAGACCCCTTATTTAATACAGTATATTGTTGATTCATTAACATTGAACTCGGGGCTAATAGCAGTGTGGCCTATGCCTGAATGAAGCTTATCTGATCATGTATATTCTCCATAAAACACATCATAGCCTTTTTATGCTGAGGAATACTAGCTGCTACTGTAGCACTGTGCTTGGGGGCCACTTTAAACAGCAGTCACCAACAAAAAAGCAAAAAACTTGGCACTAATTATACCTTGAAAAGGATACTTGTTTACAGTATCAAACTTGTTCAACCTCAGCTGGTAATGTGCACATCTGGTGACTCAAATTTTTCACAGCTCTGTGCATGTCTGCAAATGCCCACAAAAACACCGTGAGTATTGATTTTGGAATTTCAAATAAGTTTCAGCAAATAGGTGAATTCATAAGGAATATGTGAATAGGAGGATTGACTGTAATTTACATACTCTACAATTCACCTATTTAAACTGTACAATTCTGTGTTTATAGCATATTTAAAAGGTGGTACAAACATTGCCACAAACAATTTCAGAACATTTCATCACTCTGAAAAGTCTGGTACCCATGATAGCCTTTTTCCCTCACCTCTACCCCCAGCCTTAGACAACTACTAGTCTACTTTCTGCCTCTATAGATTTGCCTTTTTTGGGCATTTCATATAAATGGAATCATGTAAAATATGACCCTTTATGACTGGTTTATTTCACTGAACATCGTGTTTTCAAAAGTTTATCAATCTTGTAGCATGTAGCATTACTTCATTCCTGACAGTTGGATAATATTACATTTTATGCATTTAGCACATTTTATTTATCCATTTATCAGTTGGTAGACATTTGGATTGTTTCCATTACCTTGCTATTATGAATAATGCTGCTGTGAACATTTGTGTACAAGTTTTTTGTTGAGATGTGTTTTCATTTCTCTTGGGTATATACATAGGAGTGAAGTTTCTAGGGCATATGTCATTTTATGCTTAGCTTTCTGAGGAACTGTCATACTGGTTTCCAAAGTGGCTGTACTACTGTTTATTCCCACCAGCAGTATATGAGGGTTCTAGTTCTCTGCATTCTCACCAGCACTTGCTATTACCTGCATTTTTAAATTATAGCTATCTTCATAGGTGTGATGTAGTATCTCATTGTTATATTTTCCTGATGGTTAGTGATGAGCATCTTTTCATGTGCTTATTGGCCACGTGTATTTCTTCTTTGGAAAACTATTAGATTCTCTGCCCAGTTTGTAATTGAGTTTTTTGTCTTTCGATTATTGAGTTATGTGAGTTCTTAATATATTCTACATACAGGTTCCTTTTTAGTTATATGATTTACAAATGTTTTTTTCCCATTCTGTGGATTGTCTTTTTACTTTCTGGATGGTTTCCTTTGCAGCCATAAAAGTCTTAATTTTGATGAAGACTAGTTTATTTTTTCTTTTGTGGCATTTGATTTTGATGTTCCTGTAAGAATTTTATGTCTCTTACATTTAGGTCTATGATTCACTTTGAGTTAATTTTTGTATGTAGTGTTAGATAGGGGTCTAACTTTATTCTTTATCATGTGGATATCCAGTTATCCTAACACTATTTGTTGAAAAGATTATTCTTACCCATTGAATTCTCTTGGCACTCTTGTCAAAAATCATTTGAGTGTGAATATAAGGGTTTATTTCTGAAAAGTCATTTCTATTTTGTTGATCTATATAATTTATCCTTATCCTGGTACCACACGATCTTTGATTACTCTACTTTTGTAGTAAGTTTTGAAATTGGGAAGAGTGAGTCCTCCAACTTGGTCTTCTATTCCAGGATCATCTCAGATATTTTGGGTCCCTTGCATTTTCGTATGAATTCAAGAATCATCTTGTTAATTTCTACAAATAATCTAACTAACATTTTGATGGTGGTTGCATTAAATCTGCCCATCAGTTTGGGGACTACTGCTATCTCAACAACATTAAGTCCTCCGAGCCATGAATATGAGGTGTCCTCCCATTCATTTAGATCTTAATTTCTTTCAGCAATGTTTTGTAAGTTTCTGAGTATAAAATTTACACTTTCTTTGTTAAAAATTTATTTCTCAGTATTTCTTGATGGTATTATAAATAAATTTTCCCCCTTAATTTTGTTTTCAGATAGTTCATTGCAAGTATATAGAAATACAATTGATTTTTGTATAATGATCTTGTATCCTGCAACTTTCCTGAAAGAAAAATAATCTTTAAACTAAAAAGACAAAAGTAATTTTAAGCTTTTATTTCTAAAAGTTAGAGATCATAATTTGACTCATATGATGTCCAAGTAAGTAGATGTTATAAGACTTCTTGATAATGTGGGAGAAATTAGCTCCAGTCTTCTCCCTCTTTGTCAGTTGTTTTGTTATTTTCAGTCTCTTATTCTTAACAGAGTTGTATAATTGAAAATGCTTATATATTTGAGACATTAAGGGAGCTGGTTTTATGTCTTGGATTCAATCCCAAGCACACTCATGATAGAATGATATTAAGTGACTATATCAGAAGAACTTTCATTCTGTGCATTTTGATTTGTTATTAGTTCATCCATGTTTTTGACTTGAATCTTTTTCTTTGTTTTTGGTTTTTTGTTAATCCTCACCTGAGGATATTTTTCCATTGATTTTTAGAGACAGTGGAAGGGAGGAGGAGAAACAGAGAGAGAGAAACATCGATTGGTTGCCTCCCACAAGCACCCCAACCAGGGCTGGGGATCGAGCCTGCAACCCAGGTACATGCCCTTGACTAGAATTGAACCCAGAACCCTTCAGTCCATGGGCCAACGCTCTGTCTACCGAGCCAAACCAGCTAGGGTCTGAATCTTTTTCTTTGGTTTATTGTTTTTATTTGGTTAATTCAGTCTGAAACTGCTTCCTTTCATTCTTTTTAAAATTTTATTCTCATATATATATATATATATATATATGTATGTATATGTATTTGGTTTTTTATTCAGTTGAGCTCAAGGTTGCAGGAGAAAAGAATCAATAGATGGACATATCAAAAGTGTGCAAGGGGCTAACTTTTAGCAGTTTTGTCACTTTTTGTGACCGGACTTTTTAACAGGTTTATGATAAATGTCAATCAGGATGGAACACTGAATTCCAAACTCCACTAGGACTTCAGTTTGGAGTAAATCAAGAAGAAGACAAAAAAGAGGTATGTAATGATAAATGCTTTTGGACACCAGTGTTTCTACTGTAACAATATATGTGAAAATAGAAATAATTTGTTGTGTCCTAATAATTAAAAGCTAATACTAAAAATTTCATAAAGACTAAGAAATTACTTGAGTTATTATAATATGTTAAACTTCTAAGCTCCTAGGATTTAGGGTACCTTGATGTGAAATCAGAGATATTATCCTAGTGAATTTCTTCAATTAGTGATATTTGCCACTAGAACTTATTTAAAGGAAAAGTTTTCATTTATGGCTTCCTTTTTTCCTCCCTTTTCAATCCAAAGTTAGTGTAAACCAACAGTTTTTAACACTGGCCATGCACCAGTATCAGATGTGGAGCTTTTTTCAGATATATATATTTTTTGGTATCTGAAAAGGTAGGTTTGGGGCATCTGTATTTTTTAAAAAGTGTCACTGATGATTGTGCTATATCTTTAATATTGAGAACTGCTATTAGACTTTTAATGTTTTTACTAAAAGGTTACAAACATGTCTGTGTGTATACTATTGCTATTTGAGTAGCTATGTCCTTAAAAGAGAATATATCAACCCAGAGGTATGAATGTATCACACATCGTAGTAGCACTTGCTTTTGTTATACCTGTTCCCTTTAAAAGTATGATGCTCTTATATTCCTCAGTCCTTCTCTTCTGCCCACCACGTTAGGCTAGGCTTAGAGTGTGGTTTTAATTTTGAAAAGTTAGTGACTACTGTTATGAAATACCTCTCACATTCTTTCTGTGGCCCTGCTTCTATGGTACTTACTACTTGGTTATAGTAAATATAGTATATATTTTATCATACCAAGTATAGTCATTTTCTCAAGTGCCATTGACACGGGACTCTACTAAGGGCAAACTAAATTAGTGCTTCTTTCTCTGACTTGTCTGTAACATATAATGGCCATGTGCTTGAAGATATAAAGGTCTTGCTGTATGTGATATCTTGAGCCACCGTAAATAGAAGGAAATTAAGGACTTCGTTCCATGTGGCTTCCATATCATATCGTTTTCTTGTCTAAGGCACAAAGATAATTTCCGTCCTTGGAAAGTCCTCTGAGAGCAGAATCTTAACAATTTTAACTTCCTTCCTTTAGCGTCAAAAGCGGTACCTGAGATATAGGCGACTTTTCATGGATATTGAAAGAGAAAAAGTAAAAGAACAACAAAGGCAAAAAGAATGCAGGAAGAGAATTGAAAAGTGAGTTTTTTGATCCTCATTGTGATCCTTAAATTACTAGTTAAGGTGATTTTAGAAGCTAAGTTTTAGAAATAATCAGGTAGTGGTTTTGCCTTCTGAGCCATAGTGGGAACAACTATTTTTGATCTGGATGGAAGTATTAATAGATGATTAAGGGCTATGTTTTTAAACAGTGATACTTAAGCAGAAAGTACAAAGAGTTCCCACTTAACCCCTGCCTCTTCTACTGTTAACATCCTGTACCTCAGTGGTACATTTGTTATAACTGATAAACCTACATGGACGCATTATAATCCATATTTTACATTCGGGTTCTTCCAATGCCTTTTCATGGCTTGGTAGCTCATTTCTTTTTAGTGCTGAGTAATATTATAGTGTCTGAATGTACCACAGTTTATTTTTATCCATTCACCTACTGAAGGACATCTTGGTTTCTTCCAAGCTTTGGCAATTATGAATAAAGTTTCTATAAATACTCATATACAGGTTTTATGTAGGCATAAATTTTTAACTCCTTTGGGTAAATACCAAGGAGTGCGTTTGCTGGATTGTATGGTAAGAGTTTGTTTACTTTGGATAGAAATTGCCAAGCTTTCTTTCAAAGTAGCCAAACCATTTTGCATTCCACCAGCAGTGAATGAGAATTCTTGTTGTTTCACATCCTTGCCAGCATTTGGTGTTTTCAGTGTTTTGGCTTTGGGCCATTCTAAGTATCTAATAGTATCTCATTGTTTTAATTTGCAATTCCGAAATGACATATGATGTGGAACATCTTTTCATATACAGTTGACCCTGGAACTATGTTGGGGTTATGGGCACCAACTCCCCCTCACAGTTGGATATCTGCATATTGCTTTGACTCCCCAAAAACTTAACTACACTCATCTCATATCTATGGGAGATTGGTACTAGGACCCCCCTATGGATTCCAAAATCTGTGGATGCTCAAGTCCCTTATTTATGGTATGGCATTGGCATTGGCATTCACGGATTCTTGACTATAGATTGGAAATACTGTTTCCATCTGCAGTGGTTGAGTCCACACATGCAAACCTGGGGGATCTAAAGGGCCAACTGTAGATTTATTGGAAAATATTCAAGTATAAATGAACCCACGCATTTCCAACCCATGTTGTTTAAGGATCAACTGTACTTATTTGTCATCTGTATATCTTCTCTGCTGAGGTCCCTATTCAGGTCTTTAGTCCATCTTTTCATTGAGTTTTTTAAAATTGAATTTATTGGGGTTACATTGGTTAATTAAATAGGTTTCAAGTGTACAATTCTATAATACATCATCTGTATATTATATTGTGTTCTCACCACCCATAGTCTAGTCTCCTTCATCCCCATTTATCCCTCTCTTTACAGTCTACCTCCACCACCCCCTTTCCCTCTGGTAATCCCTATACTGTCTATAAGGTGTTTTTGTTTGTTTGTTTGCTGGTCCTTCACCTTTTCCACCCAACTACCCCCCTGAGAGCTGTCAGTCTGTTCTCTGTATCTATGAGTCTGTTTCTTTTAAAAAACACGCACACATGTTTTTATTGATTTTATAGAGAGTGGAAGGGAAAGGGAGAGAGATAGAAGAATCAATGAAACACATCAACATCAGCTGGCTGCCTTCTGCATGCCCCCTACTGGGGACAAGATCGTAAAGAGCTTTGTATGCCATGACAAGGAATTTGGATTTTATCTTGAAAACAGGAGCCATATAGAGGCATAGTGGGGAACAGATAAGATGACTGAAACTATGTATTAGGAGATCATTGAAGTAATACACTTAGAAAGATGAGAGGTGAAATTAAATTTTAAACAAAGTCCTGTTACAATAAAGTTCTTGCTCTGTGTCAAGCACTTTACATAATTGTCTCTAATTGGCACACAGTCCTGCAGGGTAGTGGTAGCTACTGTTCCCTGAGCGTTTACAGTGTGCCAGGCACAGTGTTGGGTGTTTTAGAGGCATTAGTTCATTTCCTCGCTTCAGTAACCTCGTGAGGTAAATTTTACGCTTTGCCTTTTACAGATGAAAAAAATGAACCCTAGAGAAGTTAAGAAACTTGTTTAAGATCTTACCTAGCAATGGTAGAACTGGGATTCTACCCCAGATTTATTTGACTCCAACACCTAACCTCTTTGGATCTGTAACGCAGCCTTTCAGATAAGCCAGGGCCAGGAGGCAGTGAGGAAAAGGCAGTTTTAAGAGCGTACGAGAGAGAATTGATAAGATTTGTCAGAGAATTCAAGCGTAAATTTTAGGTTTATGGTTTAGGCTACCAGGTAAATGGGGTGCTATAAAACAGATTTGCCAGGAAGGAGGTAGGTAGAGGTGGGGAGTATACATTTAGTTTGGAGCATATTGGGTTGGACGTGCTTAAAGGAAATCCAAATAGCGAGTCTAGTAGTAAATAATTCAGTTATTTTTAGTAATGATTTTAGAAATCACTGAGAAAGAATGCTGTCAGAATCAGGAAACAGTAGACAGGAAGGCTGAAAGAAAAACAGGATCAGCAGGCAAAGATTTAGACCCTGCCAGATTAGACCTTAATCCTGTTCTGTCAAAGAGGAAGATTTCTTCCACTTCCTTGAGAAGTTATTTTTCTAACAGGGCACCTCTTTAACTCCTGAAATAAATCAGTTTCTTAATCTTAGAAGCAGAATTCCTTTTAACTTTGTAAAAGATTAGTAGTATGGCCTTATCATATATGACTGAGTAACAAGGGTTTTTGAGTTGTTGAAATTATAAGAATACTAGAGGCCTGGTGTACGAAATTCATGCACTTGGGGGCGGGGTCCCTCAGCCTGGCCTGCGCCCTCTCACAGTCTGGGAGCCCTTGGGGGATGTCTGACTGCCACAGAGGCGGGAGAGGCTCCTGCCGCTGCCCCTGCGCTTGCCAGCCGTGAGCCCAGCTTCTGGCTGTGGGAGCGCACTGACTACCAGGAAGCAGCTCCTGTGTTGAGCAGGATCAGGCTGAAACTGGCTCTCTGACATCCTCCAAGGAGTCCTGGATTACGAGAGGGCGCAGGCCAGGTCAAGGGACCCCACTGGTGCACAATCGGGGCCAGGGAGGGATGCAGGAGTTTGACCAGCCAGGAGGGACCTTGGGGGGGCTCCAGGGTATGTCCGGCCCATCTCCCTCAGTCCCGTTTGGCTGGACCCCAGCAGCAAGCTAACCTACCAGTTGGAGCATCTGCCCCCTATTGGTCAGTGCACGTCATAGCGACTGGTCAACTGGTCGACTGTCTGCCCCCTGTTGGTCAGTGCACATCATAGCAAGGGGTTGAGTGGCCTTAGCATATCATTAGCACATTACGCTTTGATTGGTTGAATGGACGACCGGACACTTAGCATATTAGGCTTTTATTATATAGGATACTTTTAATGTAGTTTACCTGTGATATTTTATTTTTAGGAGTCTCTTTAAAATGTAAATATTGATGTCTGTTTCATTGTGCACACACAGGGATAGCAACATTATATTAGTCCCTTATAACAATTTTTTAAATCATAGTTGACATTCAATATTATATTTATTTCAGGTATACTACATCGTGGTTAGACATTTATATAACTTACAAAGTGATTTTCCCTGGTAGGTCCTTTACCCACCTGGCACCATACATAGCTATTACAATATTGTTGACTATATTTCCTACTCTGTACTTTACATTCTCTTGACTATCTTGAAACTGCCAATCTGCACTTCTTAATCCCTTCGCCTTCCCCCTTCCTGCCTCCAGCCCCCTACCCATCTGGCAACCACCAGTTTGTTCTCTTTATATATGAGTTTGTTTCTGTTTTGTTTGTTTCTGTTATTTAGACTCCACATGTAAGTGAAATCATACGGTATTTGTTTTTCTCTGACTTACTTCATTTATAATACCCTCTAGGTCTATTCATCTTGTAGTAAATGGTAAGATTTCATTCTTCTTTATGGCCAAGTAATATTCCATTGTATATATGTACCACGTCTTTATTCAGTTGTCTGTAGATGAACACTTAGGTTGCTTCCATATTTTGGCTGTTGTGTATAAAATGTTCTTCATTGCCTTTTGTTACAGCCTTTGTTTTAAAGTCTGTTTTGTCTGATGTAAGTATTGCTATCCCAGATTTTGTTGTTGTTTCCATTTGCATGAAATATCTTTTTCCATACCTTTATTTTCAGTTTGTGTTTGTCTTTCAATCTGAAGTGGGTTTCTTGTAGACAGCATATATATGGGTCTTGTTTTGTTATCTATTCAGCTACCCCATGTTTTTGATTGGCGTATTTAATCCATTCACATGTAAAGTGATTATTAATAGGTATGTATTTATTGTCATTTTCTTTCTTTTAAAAAAATATATTTTTATTGATTTCAGAGAGGAAGGAAGAGGAAAAGAGAGATAGAAACATCAATGATGAGAGAGAATCGTTGATCAGCTACCTCCTGCATGCTCGCTACTGGGGATTGAGCCCACAACCCTGAACCAAACTGGCTAGGGCTATTGCCATTTTCTTTATAATTATGTTCCTCTTTTTTTTTTCTTTTTCTTAAAGAAGTCCATTTAACATTTCTGGTAGTACTGTTTTGATGGCAGTGAGCTTCTTTAGCTTTTTCTTTTTTGGGAAGCTCTTGATGTCTCCTTTGATTCTAAATAAGAGCCTTGCTAGGTAGAATAATCTTGGTTGTAGGTCCTTACTTTTCATCTGTTTGAATATTTTGTGCTGGTCCCTATGGCCTGCAAAGTTCCTGTTGAGAAATGAGCTGACAGCCTTATGGGACCTACCTTATTTATAATTTATTGCTTTTACTGGAAGTCTGACGATGGTTTCAGAATACCTTTAGCATCCCAGCAAACTACTATAATTATATTCACGTCAGTGCTCTGGAAAAAAAGCATATATTGACATGTTGATTTCTGACCTAGTTTAGTGTATAAGTAAAAGATATATTTATGCAAGAGGCCTTAAAAGACATCAGAAAAGATTAAAAACTTGTTTATAAAATAGTCATTTATA